TGGTGGGCACTTGGCACTATGCTGAGTGATCCGTGTTCTATAAAGAAACCGTGGCTTAAACCCCCCATTTATTGTCTTTGTAAGATGGCCAGGTCCACACGAGGGCCCTGAAGATTCCCCCAGTCACCTGGTACCGCGTCCCGGCGTTCCGTGTGTCGTTTGCCTACAGGTTGAAACGTTGCTTGATCAATTCAATCTTGTGCTCCAGGAGGGCTCTGTCAAAGTCGACGTCCGTGGGCAGATAGACGTTGCCGAGATAATTGTCGTACTTGTCAAAGGGGCATGGGTCCTCGGTCACGCTCGATCCTGTGGCTGAGCTGGGCCCAATGTACGGGCAGAGGTGGTCTGCGAGCAGGGTCGTGACCTTGATCATTCCGGATCGGTTGAGCACAGACGATGATGGTGGTGATGATAACTGCTCGGACGAGTTCGAACTGGCCAGGTCACTGTCGAAGTCCGTCGCCACGTCGAGCCACCCGCTCGTGTCGATCCAGAACGTCGATTTGTCCCCCTGGCTTTGTAGCGTTGAGACGACCTGCGCGACGGCATAGGAGATGACCCGGTCAAGCTTGAGTTTCTTGGTGATCGGGTACCGCAGTGCAGAGAATGGCGTGAGGAGGAAGATGGAGAGTGTAGATGGTGCCGAGTTGTAGATGTAGCTGCCGTCGTTGTCGTCGTCCCCCAAGTCGCTGGTTGGCCCTGTTGCCGCAGGATTGAATGGATACGCGTTGGCGCGGATCGCTTGGATCAAATTGATGTAGACCTCGATGAACTCGTTGGTGAACTTGGCCAGAGCATGCTTGCTGACGGGTTTCTCGGTGGCAACTGAAGAGAAGAATGCGCCGAAATCCACAGAGCCGAGCTGGAGGACGAGCACTGAAGGACGATACAGCTTGAAATTCCAAGGACGCGAAAATGCCTTTGTTCCCAGAGGGCCAGCACGGAAGAATTGATCTCTGAGGGTCAATCCCGACTCTCCTGTTGGCAGCAAGCCGATTCTCCCCATGTCTAAGACGACTGCATCGAGCCCTTTGTGCCAGTTGTCTACTCCTTTGTCCACATCACTCCCACTTATCGGCGGCAGGTGATTCATGAGTGAGAGAGAACCATCTGACGTGACGATCTCGACCACCTTTCTCGATCGTCGGTGCATATATTCTCCATTCAATGAGGTATTGTCGAGGTGGTCTTCACGAAGGGGGAGAAGTCTCGGTAGCGAAGACGTCTCCGTCAAGGTTGACGACACTGTGCTGGCCTCTGCGGGCGCGGCTTTGTCGAGCCAAATTCCTTCAAACTCGAGTGCTCCATTGGTGCCATGCGGACCTCCCATGTGTGTGAGCTTGACTCTGTACGTCTTTTGCTGATCAAGATGCTTCGTAACCGAGACCACCATCCCCGCCGCTTCGACCCAATAGGTATTGTGGCCTTCGACCGACACCACGAGGTTTACGGGGTCCGAGGCTCTGGCACCGATGGATCGAAATTCGGAGTGGTGGATGTCCCTTGCTCCCAAAAGCTCAGGCTGTTGTTTGGAGGCGGAGTTGAGATTGTTGAGAGAGAGGGAAAGGCCGGTAGTGTTAGCTATCACCATCTCGACATACGAGCCTGCCCGCACAGTTAGTGAGGAGTTTGAACGTTCTGTCCGTTGGCTCCTCGACTAACCTGGAAATGCCGCATCCCGACGGAGTTGGTTTGAAGTGGGCATCCACCGTCCAACATACTATCAAGCGCGTTCAGTCTTCAGGGGTCAGGGGAAGGAGTGATAGTATGGCCCTACGTGCATGTGAGGAGAACTGGCGGGTATGAAGACGTGTTCCTTCTCCATCAGTTTCCGCAGCAGCTGCTTGAGAGAGACCCAGGTATCAATGCTGGAAACCGTGAATGAGGGCGAGACAGGCATGGCGAATACATGGACGAGACAGAGGATCAACAGAGGAGAGAATACGGACAGGCACAATAGACCAACCTTGATGAGGTGTGAGCCAAACATCTTGCTCTTTGCAACCGAATGTGTCCCCATGGCGTCCGGTTGATGTGTCAATTGGAGGGAGAGATTGCTTGTAGGGACAGAAGGTGAAGTTCTTTGCAGCATTCATTCACCGAGTGCCTTGACCCGTGATCGTGGGTCCAGTACCAAGTGGCTGGTCTGGCAGATTCGCAGAATTAATCACATATATTTTAAAACCGCAGTTCCCTGTCATAATTCTCATGTCTATCCCGGGTTCTGACCTCTGATGGCTAACACCGATTGTTAGCCAAACGAGCTAGTCAGGGCGTGAGGGTGTGGCCACCAGGCATGAGACAGCTTCTCTTGGGAGTTACGAGAATCCTAGAAGGTAACTACCCTGACCCTGTAAGCTACCCATCGAGGTAGCCCAGTTAACACTGCTTAACTGGGGGTTCCGCGTCCAAAAACGGCTTCCCTGAGCGTGGGTTGTTCGAGGCCGGAGAGAACCTGACGAAACGACGGTAAAAAACCCTCCTATACAACTGGAAGGTTTCCCTCGACCTGAACCTCAACTCCCACCGGGGAGTTGGGCTTCGGGTTAGAGTTTTTGCATTTTGGGGAGGCGATGTCCTTTTTGTTTTTTGTAAACAAAAAGTGATCTGTGTGCTTTCGAACACAAGGCTGAGGGTGTATGTGCGAGTGCGCGAGGCTGAGAAACCCGCCAAGACAGGAGGAGTGCCATGGGACAGAAAGGGGAACAGAATGAGTAGTGACTGAACTTGTTGTATCGCTCATCCTCTTGGCCTTTCACTGGTCTCTGGTTGATGCAATGGCGCTCGACCCTCAGGTTCGTCACCCAGACCATCCTCATCTGATCCATCGTCTCTGTCTTCGGTGCATTCTTCCTCCTGATCACCCAGCTTCTCCTCTGCCAGCCGTCGGTACTTCCTGCGCTTCTTCTTGTCGGCGCTCCTCTTCTTGCGCTGCTTGTGCTCCACCACTTTGGCTGCCCGGCTCTCCTCACCCTTCTGCAACAATTCCACCTTCTCTGCGAGAATCCTCTTTGCGATGTTGTGGTTTTGACTTCTGCTGCGGGTTGCTTGACACTTTACCACAATGCCAGTTGGAATGTGTGTCAATTGAGCCGCCGAATTAGTCTTGTTGATCTTCTGACCCCCGGGTCCAGTGCCTTTGACATAGGTGTGTTTGATGTCGGCGTCAGGTAAGGTCGGGCGCGGTGGGAGGTGGTTGCTCGACTTGTGAGCTCGGGTGCTGAAGGTGCTGAAGGAGGTGGAAAGTGTCTTGATGAATGGCGTGGTCTCGTGTCCCGATGCTGTACGGGGATACAGCCGCCTCAGCTGGCGGCACACAAGCATCGCTTACATGATCGACTGCAAGGAATCAGGGCTGTCTTGCTGTATGCGAAGTATCAGCAAAGACTATGTTGACAAGAGCAGCTTGGGAAGCTATGAGGTACTCTGCAGCATTATTGAGCCTCAACCTTGAGCGTATCATACTTGGATAGGCAGCTTAGCCGGTTGGAAGGGAGTTGAGGGGATGTTTCCGAACCATGAGTACCTCGTACAAGGTCAACCAGTCGTCACGTAATAGTCAGCATTGATGGGACCAGCCAAAAGCCTCCAGCGCATCTTCGTATCACTCCATACTCCGCCGTCTTGAGCCCATACACCAACCTATCATCTCATGTCTTGCTTCCCGTGTTCAGCCTCATCTATCGTGCGTGTCTTGTGCGTTATCGAGATGCAATGCATGGAACTCCGAAGCTGAGCTGGGCAATCGCCAGCCCGCCTTAAGGAGAACTCTCTCGCTTGACGATCGTCCGTGATATCATAAAACTACTTTGTCCGTGCTGTGGTCGATACCCGATACCAGTGAGTGAGTGCTAAAGTTTTCGGTCCTACTCTCGTCTCTATCCCTCTCTTTTCCCTCACAGTCCCTCTGGTTCCCTCATGTGCGGGACTCTAGCTCCATGACCTCCCCATCAGGCCGCCTGCAGGGCCGTGTGGCCATCGTCACCGGCTCCAGCTCTGGACTTGGACAGGCCATCTGCCTCGCCCTCGCCGCCGAGGGCGCTTCGGTTTTCTGCATTGACCTGTACCCGACGCCGCGGAACGCCATCAACCCCTCGACCCAACGCGCCGATGACTTCCACAATCGCGTCACGGGCCAGCCGGGGACGCATGAGCGCATCCGCCACATGGGCGGCGAGGCCACGTACCACAAGGCCGACGTGACGCGGGGCCGGGATGTGGAACTGGCCATCCGGGCGTGCGTGCAGCGGTACAAGAGGGTGGACATCATGGTGAATAACGCGGGCGTGAGCGTCGAGAGCACCCATGTCCGCGCCCTGCGGTGCCACGAGACCAGCGAGGAGGACTACGACAGGACCATGGCCATCAACGCCAAGGGCATGTTCCTCGGCTGCAAGTACGCCCTCAAGCAGATGCTGGACGGCCAGCCTCAGATCTACCCGGCCAGGGGGTGGATCGTCAACACCGCCTCCGTCCAGGGCCTGGTCCCCTACTACGGCACGCCCTCGTACTGCGCCTCCAAGGGCGCCGCCGTCATGCTCACCAAGCAGATCGCCCTCGACTACGCCGCCGACCTGATCCACTGCAACGCCCTCTGCCCGGGCTTTTTGGACACCACCATGACCCAGAACCTCCAGGCCCAGCCGCACGAACTGCGCGACATTGAGGGGAAACACCCCTTTGGTCAGAAACTGGGCAAGGTCGAGGACGTGGCCAGGGCGGCTGTGTTTCTGGCGAGCGATGATGCCGGTTGGATCACGGGAGTGCCCTTGCCCGTTGATGGGGGTTATTTACTGAGATGAGAGAGAGTGAGTGAGAGTGGGAAAATCTGGGAACACTACCCCCTTTTGGTATCAGGAAACAGAACACGGGTTTTCTCTGGATACATCCAATTAGCATGTAGGTAGTATTGGCCCGAATACTCAATTAGTCAAGAAGAATTTGTTTCAGGCTTGACGAGCAAGAACAGCCTGGAAGCCAACCACGGTGCCGTAACCAAGCTACGCTTCCTGAGCCGCCTCAATCTTCAACCACATATCCAACCACGCCCTGCCCTCCTCGCCCACCTCACCGGGCTTCTGATAAGACCTCTCCAGGGTCGCCAACACCCTCTCCCTCAGGATCTTGACCGCCATCAACTCCCTCCAGCGACGGACGGAGAGCCTGATCTTCCCACTGTCCAATACCAAGACGCCAGCGAAGAATTTAAACTCGGCTTCCGCGCCTATGAGGATGGCAAGCGCCGACTCGGGGATCGCGGACGTTTCAAAGACGTTGAGCGAGCCGCTGCGCGGGTTCTGCATGGCTTCGTAGAAGGAGAGCCAGCGGGGTGGTTTGGACGAGGAGGATGATGACGACGGGTGATTGACGGAGCGCGAGGTCAGCGAGACCATCTGGTTCGTGTAGACGTTCCGCCAGCCTTTGCCCTCGCGCATGAGGACTCGGGGGTACAGCGCCATGGCGACGATGGCGTTGAGGGCACGGTCGGGTATCACTGGCAGGTTGTAGCGTGGAGGGATGATGACAGAGTGCGACCCAAGACCGCCGCCGCCGCCGCCGCCGCCGCCACGTCCAGAAGAAGAAGAATACGTTCGGGCGCGGTTCAGAGCTGCTCGTTCCTCCGGCTCTAGCTTCACCAGCCCCGCGTCAACGAGGTAGACGAGCAACTGGATCTTTTGCGCCTCGACTTGCACCATCGTCTGGTCGCTGATGTGGTTCTTGCGGCAGAACTCCTGCGCCGATCGCGCCGCTTTCGCCTTCTTCCAGCTTTCGTACGCGTTCAGGGAGGAGAGCAGGTCCGAGTCTCCTCTACTGAACGTGCGTCTTGCATCGGTCTGCGACCCGGATGTTGGGGCCGACAGAAACGGTGACTTGGAGGTCAGAAGAGATATGATGGCCAATATGGGATCCTTTTATGCACGCAAGTCAGAGAATGTATCAAGCAGAAGTCATGCAAAACCTCCCAATATGAAACTCACCAGACATTGGAAAATGACTCCCATAATCGCCAGCTTCGCCAATAACACCTCCAAGGGCAATCTCGCAATCTGCTGGCCCAGCGGCGTGAGCGCCTCGTTCTTTGCCAATGCGCCGGCGTCCTTCAACTTGTCAATCGCCCTGAGCACGTTCTTCCTCAAAGGCGGCTCGATGGCGGCGTTGAGAGTCTCTTCGATCGACCCGAGGTTCCACACCTTGATTCGCAGAATCGGGTCCTGCAGACTCAGCCGCAGCATTTCGGGGACTTGCTGTTCCAGCATCAGGTTGTCGTAACGATGCTTGGTGACGAGGTGGAAGCAGAGGCCCTCCTGGACACGCGCGGCGCGACCTCTCCGCTGGCGCGCAGAAGACCGAGAAATGAATCCCTCTGTCAGCCGCGAGAGCTGGCGGCGTTCGTCGAAGCGCATGATTTTCTCCTTGCATGTGTCGATCACGGCCGTCACGTCTGGAATGGTTATCCCAGTCTCGGCAATGTTGGTCGCGATCACGATCTTTCTTTGTCCCGTTGGCGGGCGTTCGAACGCTCGTTCGAGCTCTTCGGTCGAGAAGGTCGAGTGTAAAAGATGCACGATCCAGCCTCTGCCGAAGGTGTCCATCGAGAGGAGGAGGTTGTGCAAACGCCGCATCTCGCCTATGCCCGGCATGAAGATGAGTATTGCGGTACTGTATTTCGCGTAACGTGGTTTGCTGGCGATGCAAGCGGCGAGTTTTGCGATGAGGCCGTAGTCGATGTGATATTCGTCCATATTGGAGATGGTCTGTTGGGTCTTGTTACTGTATTTCTCTGGCTCAGCAATAACGGGCCGCCCCTTATTGCTCACGAAGGCTTCATTCAAGTCTTGCTCCTCCTCCTGGATCGTCAGGTCCTTTTCTTTCACGCCAGTCATGTCATTCGTGGCTTCGACCGCGTCCTCCAGAAACCCGACTTCAACTGGAAACGTCCTTCCAGGCAAATCCAAGACCGGAGCGCCGCCAAAGTAGTCCGAGAACTTTTTCGCTTCCACCGTGGCCGACATGAGGACGATCTTCAAGGTCCTGCGGCGCTTCTGCAACTTCTGCAACGCGATGAACAGCAAGTCCAAATCCATCGTACGTTCATGAACTTCGTCGAGGATGAGGCAGTCCAGCTCATTAAGGTCTGGAGAGTCTTCCAACATTCTCAGAAGGACGCCAGTAGTCGCATAGGTGATGCGAGTGGTACTGCTAGTCTTGCTCTCTAACCGAATTGCGTAGCCGACGAGCGATCGGTTCGTTCCAATGTCATTCCGGCTCTCTCCCAATTCCTGAGAGACACGTCTGGCAAGAGAGATAGCCGAGATCCTCCTTGGCTGCGTGACGAGAATCCGATAGTCTTGGGCGCTGCAGAACGCTTGCTCCAAAAGCAGTACCGGAATGCCAGACGATTTGCCCGCTCCCGTCTCTGCGCAAATAACGCTCACAGGATTTTCGGCAATGCAAGAGAGAATTCGGTCTTTGTAGTGGTGAACAGGAAGCTGTTGACGGACTTGGAGCATTTCCTGAAAGGACGCACGAGAAACTCTGCTATTCCATTCCTTGGAGACCTGTTCGGGGCTCCAACTCACAGTAAAAGGCGCTCGTGTTCGGCGGTGAGCACCAGCAGTGCTGAGAGATTCGGATGGATCTTGACTCGGTGGCGTGGCTTGTTGTCGCCTCAGCTCGTTCTGTGTTTCAGAGATTAAGGCTCTCAACCTCTGCAATGCTCCCTTTCGTTCTTCATTGACAATCGCTTCTTTGGCATCGCCCAAGTCTTTCACCACATCTCTCCAGACGGTCGGCAGACGGCCCACTGACTTATGCTCGCTCGCACCTAGTGTTGACACCAGGAACAGGCCGATGGTACAGATATAAGCCTCTGATTGGGTAGTATCCGCGGCAGCGACCCGAGTCATCTCCAATGCCCAAAGACGCTCATCAACTTGAGCAGAGACTTCGGACGGCAATGCTGTGATCGTGTGAGCCTCGGCCAGGGTATCCGCTGTCCAATATATTTCCAGTTTGTGACGTGCAGAGTACGAGGTTCGCTGCAAAGTTTTGATTTGTATTCGACACCTCGAATCACGTCCTCTGCAGACTTCATCCAGTAGTCTTTTTGGTGAAAGACCCGACCATTTGCCGAACTCTAGGAGTCTTATGGGGTCTTTGGATGCTGGCTGGTTTTGTTCAGAGACAATGGTGTCTTCAGATTCGCCGAACATGCCACCCAGAAGGGCATCTTCATCTTCGGCAGCAGCTAGAACATCGTACTCCGCAACGGACTCTTTGTTCGTCGTGTCATCGTCAATGTTGTCCTGAGCGGTGGCTTGCTTTTCCTCCCGCCGTTTTCTAGCCGCAGTTCGCATGAGCTCTTGACGTGTTATCAGGAGTTCAGCTAAGACCGTGTCCCACGCAGTTTGTGCCTCCTGTTTATCAAAAAGCGGATCACGATGCAGCTGTTCTAATTTGCGGTGTAATTTCGCGATTCGCTTTTCCTTCGTTGTCCCGGACTTTTTGGAATCGCTGGCATCATCATTCTGGGCCGTCCAAAGCAAACGTTGAATTCGAATAGCTTTCTCCGTTAGCTTCGCGGGATCGTTGTCTTCCTCGGATTCCGAGCTGACCAGGCTCGACGATGAGTCTTCCGCTTCGGAAACCTGTGCGGGTGTAGATGCTGGGCTTTGTCTACTTTGATTTGCGGTCGGCGGTTCTGTGTCCTTGTCAGTCCTGTTGGCACATGCAGGTCAAAGTCGCGAAAAGCATAGATCGGCGCTTCACTGAGAGCAAGGACATCCGACCTGAGATGAGGATACGGTGGCAAGGTCTCGCGACATCACATATACTTGCGCCGGGTAGGGAATGTGGAGACGACGTTCTTGGGCTGCCTTTGTTGACATTCTAAGACAGGAAGGGTAGTTGGACAAGTTCGAGTACCAGGCCCTTTCTTACTCACCAGATGTCACCTGGAGAGGGGTGCTATTACCGCTCACTCCAGTCATTGTGCCTGTGGTTTGTTCATAGTTTATGAGTTCGCCCTCTGGCATTTTGCAGGCATACCATTGCAACGCCTCGGGCAGACCAGGCAGGGAATCGGTGGCCGATTTCAGCTGTCTCAGCAGGGCAAGTTCAGTGATATGGGCAAGTGCTTCAGAGACTCTTGGGAATTTCAATGACACCAGGACCCTCTCCAGAGTCCACAGGTCGAGCAAAAGCTTCTCCTCATCGACAGCAGTCTCAACACTCCTGGGTGTTGACGGCCCACGGCTCGTATCACGAGCGTCCATATCAATGAGATTCTCAATAGTCTCTTCCGGCAGCCAGGTATATGTTGATAATTTCTGCGACTGCGGACGTAATTGACGCCGTTCGGTTTCTAGCCTGGCTATCTGACGTCGAGCATCGGCAACGCATCGTGTAGCATACTTGGCGAGCAGTGCTTCCAGCTCAGAGTCTTCCAGATGAGCTTCAAACTCGTCGGCAGTCATATCTTGAATCTTTAGACCTTGTTCAGCGTGTTCGCCATCTTTCGAAGTCACGACCTTGTCCTTGCCAGGTGCTGTGATTTTAGCCCCAGTATCTGTACCCGTGCCAGCCGCACTGGCATCTCCCAGAGCCTCATCGGGCTGGTCAACAGTCTTGGACTTTGAAGGTACAGAAGTCGTGGCAAACCCTCGAGCAGGGTTCGCCGTGGGCTTCTTTTTCTTCTTTGGAGCCATTGTTTAAGAGGGCGCCACAGAGGGTCAGAAAATTGCCAAATGGCTGAGGTTGAGCAGAGGAAGACCTTGGATGCCTGAGCCCTTTTGCTTATTGATCGAGACTGAATTTGATGTCTGCGTGACTGACGAAGAATGAGGAATATCGCGCCAAGGCAATATCCCTAATGTATCCTAGAGGCTAGGCTATTTTGGGAATCAAGTCATATTGGGGAATAATGATCTTCCGTGCCGAGCCGCAGCCTCGCCTGATCAAATCTGCCCGTAGTTGACGTGTCACAGTATTTCCCCTAAGGTGCTCCCTTTGTGGATTAACGTTGACCTAGCTATCAGCTGTAAGGTCAAGCATGACTCCGAACATACATGTCCTCTATCATCAAAATCGTGTCAAATCTGTATGGGATAGACCATAAATATTCGAGTACGTTATTGCCAACCGTAGGGAGAAGTGGCTGTTTGGAAAGACCGGGACGACAAGATCATTATTGAGATGGAGTCTTTATTTTCGATACAATAATCCAGGTCAGACTCCAACTTGACCGAGCTTTGAGCTTTGCCTCGTATTCCATCTGCCTTGCCCTGCAGGTTGCCAAGCCAGCTGAAGAGCAAAATATAACATCAGGAACACCTAGACGAGCAAAGAAAACTAGATCAACTACTGACCAAAGACCTCCGGGTGGTCAGCAGCCTCAGCGGCAACATGAATCCACTAGATTTAATGAGCAAGGGCTGGAGCACCGCCCAAGGCTCCTCGGCTCCAGAGCCCTACATCTATCAACCACTGGAAGAAGAACACCAGGAGTTCCGACTGTTGAAGCTTGTGCCATCTCGAGACCCCAGAGAGCCTCTCAGAGCAACCATCGTGACGGTCCGCCCTGACTGGCGAGCATTGGCCGCAGATCCCGAGCATCAAGGTCCTCGGTGGACGGCATTGTCGTATGTATGGACTGATCCGGACGAGCCTACGGTCATCCTCGATGGACAGCAGCTCAGGGACACGCAGCGGACGGAGGAAATCCTCGTCGGAAATGCCACCATCAAGATCACGTCGAATCTGTTCCATGCCCTGATGTTGATCCGCGGCTACGAGGAGTTCTGCACCATCTGGGCAGACCAGGTCTGTATTGATCAGTCCAATTTGGTCGAAAGGGCGAGCCAGATCCAGCTCATGCATATGATATTTTCCCTGGCGCAGAACGTTCTGGTGTGGCTGGGCAAAGCACTCAGAGCCTCGAAGACGCAGATGTTTGCACAAATGTTCGCCTGGCTTCACAGTCCCCAGCGCACCGGCCGGATCGAAGATGCCCCTTCGTTCGCGCAATTCACGGCCAAGTTGATGGGAGGAGAGCCGGGTTTGCATCCGCCTCCGGACGAGGACCACCACCTTTTCACCAAGCAAATAGCCAAAGATATCTTGGAAGACCCGTGGTTCAGCAGATCCTGGGTCATCCAGGAGGCGGTACACGCCAAAAACCTGCTCGTCTATCTAGGGCCGGTGGTCCTCCCGTGGGAAATGTTTGAGGAAGCCATCTTCGGGTTGTCATACTGGAGCATCCCGTGGAGTACGGCAGAGGATTCGGACTTGGCCACGTTTCATCGCGGCGGACTTCAGATGATCAAGAAAACCCGCGAGTGGCAGGAAAGTCGATACAAGGACGAGACGCTTCTCCCGTCGGCTCCCTTGTCCACTTTACTTCAGGGGCTCCGTGGCAGTCGAAGCACCGATGCTCGCGATAAAGTCTACGCCTTCTGGCACATGTCTGACCAGGAATTTCGGACCGAAAAGGGTTGGATACGTCCATTGCCAATCTCATACGAGAAAGGTACACGGGAGGTCTACGGACGGACTGTGATGTACTGCGTCGATACCGAGCTGAACCTGGACGTGCTCTCGTGCGCTTGCAAGCACGAGGCATCTCGGCAGAATTCCGAGTTTCCCTCGTGGATGCACGACTGGCAAGTCCATCCTGACCAACTCGGGTGTGCGACTGATGTGCATAATATCCTCCCACAGCGCGGATGTGACGCATACGCCGTCAACAGCGAGAGCCAGAGTGGCAAGATCCCATTCGATGCATGCGCAGGTCGTCTATCCGATTACGGAAGACCGCCCGATGAACCCAAATTCGCCTACAGTGAGGATTTTGACTATATTGGATTGAGGGGAATCGCCTTTGACGAGATCCTGGCGGTGTCTTCGGTGGGACACTCCACCACCCCGGAAACAGGCGTGAGTGTCGAGCAGCAGGAAATGGACTGGAACTCCTGGCGAAACTTCGCCATGGAAGAGATGCAGGACGATCCGTACCATGATCCCGAAACCCGTCTCGAAGGCTTTTGCCACGCCCTGACATTCGGCAACGTCAAAATCCCTGGACCCCCTAGCAAAGACCTGCTGCGAGAGTTCGAACTGTGGTGGTCCGCCGGGCGGCCTCTCCAATCTTCAGACTCTGCTCATTCCGCCGATTGGAGCCAAAGGCTACAGACATACAGGAAGTTTATGGGCAGCCCATTTCCTCACGGCCTTTACGTTGACAACAGGAGACTGTTCCGCACCGCTCGAGGTTACATTGGTTCCGCATGCGAACATGTCAAACCAGGAGACAAGGTGTGGATCTTGTGGGGTGGTGCGTTGCCCTTTCTCTTGCGTAAAGACGAACAGAGGAACGGCTTGTACAGTGCCGTCGGAGGGGCCGTTTACATTCACGGAATCATGTTTGGGGAGGCCGTGGCAAAGGCGGAACAGGAAGGGAGGGAACAGGAATGGGTATACCTTGGCTAGGTGCCTTGATGCCTAGATGGCTAGTGAGTGAAGTTCGATGATTAGGACCTCTTGATCATGGGCAGTAGTGCACAATGACATGATGTTTTGTTGAGCATATCAAGTTTTCCCCTGACATTGGGGGCATATGAACCCATGGAGACAAGGCGACCAATAAAGTTGCTCCGCTTAACCCGATTTTAACACTTACTCCATCTTTCACTTTTGATACTCATCCAAACACACCCTGGATTTCTTGACGAGCACCAGCAATAACACCTTCTAGCTTGAATCTCAGATTTTCAAAGACTCGCCATTTCGTCCTACTTGGTCAATCAAAGTGTTTCAGGTCGATATCTATCACAAATGCTGGCATTGGCGTTGACGGCAGATCTCGAAGGGTACGATTTTCCATACCTAACCGAGTACGCAACGCCTCTCTTGACACTGATGGCCTTGCCATTGCAGCGTGACCGACCTCGTCCCGTCTGATACAGCCGAATCGCCTTACTACTACACTTTCAAAGTCCAGTGTACGTCATGTCGTGAGATCCATGCGAACTGGGTCGGGGTCAGCCGTCATGTAAGTGCTCCAAGAGTCTGCGCGAGGGCTTGTGCGACTGTGATGCTCCATTGCGTGTGGTGCTGCTCCTTATTATTGCCTCCGTACGACTGTGCCGTGGCCTGGGTTTGCGGCCCAAGTCCGTCTTGTTGTCCGACCGCCTGGAACTCATCTGACCTCTACGCACAAAATGCAGGAGATGAACGAACAATCCGGGAGTCGGGGAGAAGCAAACTTTGTCTGGAAATGCAAGAACTGCAAGGTATGTGAAGACGACCTCTTTGTCTCACGGAGGTGGCTTCAGGCATTCTCTACTGTGCTAACCAGCCATCACGCAGAGAGAATCAAGCGCCACCATCAAAGCCGCCCCAGCAAAATACGAGCAAAATTCACCCGCCAAACCAAAGAATATCATAGACATCGATTGTCGGGGTCTGGAATTTACCGACTTCAAGCCAGATGTATGTTGATATAAGCGCCCAAGTTCTGACGTGTTCGTCCAAGACTGACTGATACCTGCGTTAGGGAGAGTGGGAGGCTACAGGCATCGAGTCCGGGACCAAGTTTTCGGGCATTGACCTGTCGGAGGGAGAGTGGTTCGACTATGACGAGAAGGCCGGCGAGGAAGTCAGCATCAAAGACATCAAGTGGCAGATACGGCGAGCTTGAGGCCCTCGGTTGAGTTGGTCATTGGAAGCAACAACAGATTGTAAGAGGCGATTGAGGGGGGGAAATGTTGACAAGGCTGTAGTCCAGCACTTGTTGTGACGCGAGGCTGTGACGCGGGGTGAGCAGTGCATCAATGGGGTGCATCTGCCCTCTGTGCCTCCTTCCAACCTTCTCGCTTTTTCACACTTCAACCCACCCCGCTTCGATGATCTGAGAGACACCCTTACGCGTTGGTGTACCACACTCGTCAATCCTTCCCTCCTTCGATTTCCCTTTCTCAAGTGAATACGAAATGGCGTCCATTTCATATCTCGTCTTAGCAGCTGCGAATCCCCCTCCCAAATGACTCGGTGCCTAGCCTACACTTCGGTCGCGGACCCCTCCACTACCACCTCTGTCCTTGCATAGCTATGATCTCGTACTGGAGCTGATGGTTACAAGAGAGGGGCACGTTGCAAATGCAACAGATATTTGGGACCGAAGAATTAGGTCAAGAAATGAAGTATACCATACTACAACTGCCTTACCAGTGCAGACTGGTTTCGCCTCCGTTTTAAAAAGGTGCGCCTGGACACTGAAGGCTTTTAGCATGCGAAGGACGTCGAAGAATCATAATGGAATAATCTTGTGACGCTAAAGCCGACACCCTGACCTACGTCCAGTCTTCCCGATAAACTTGTTCAACACATTTTTGGTGATGATTTCGGTACAAGGGTCACGCTTCTTCAACCCTACGACCCATTCCGCCGTGCCCGCGCAAAAGACCTCCCCCTTTTGGCGCGTAAAGGACGCAATCATGCCTGAGCCATACTTGAGACCTTTGAGATAGTTGGGCATGTTGGTCGACCCGCCCTTCTGGGGTTTAAAGAGAGCTTGCATGAGCTCAATCTTGTCCCTTGTAGGACCACCGATAGGCTCCGAACCATTCCAGCGGTCTTCTTCCCCCAGCACTGCGGGACACATGGCAATGATTTCCAAGGTGGAAGGTGCGCCGTCTTCAAAGGTGGGGTATGGCAGACCTTGTCGAAAGGTATACTGACAGCCATCCACCTCAAATGCGGCAATGTTCACGGGGTTCCCTCCAAAAGTGTCGCCGTAGAACAGCTGCGTGCCGTCAAGCGCCCAGTGGTCTGGCCTATAGACGAGAAACCCTCCCGAGGAGCGCGGAGTAGCGACACCGTACCGCGCGTACACACCCGTCAATCCACAGAGTCCGACGGTCTGTGCGGCCGGGCGCTGGATCTCTGGCCATTCCCATGACGTTGTGGTCCGTGGCGGGTTCGCCTTGCTCTCGGGGTCATTGTCTGGAGTTCCATAATAATACTGTGTCTTCAGATCCGACGATAATCGCACCTGTTTGGCAAAATTGCCACCGAAGCGCGCAAAGGACCCTCCTCGGTCCACAAACTGATCGATTGTGTCACGTTGCTCCCAGGTCCAGTACTCGTCATGACCGACTATCACGGCGCACCGGTAGCCGTCGAGAGGGGATGCCGCTGTGTCTTGGAGGTCCGTTTGAGTCATGTGGTGAATCCGATACCCAGCAGATTCGGCCCAGAGTACAAAAGGACGCTCGTAGGTGGCGTAGCCTGCGTCGGCATAGTGCCTGCTATAGCGCCAGTACCACGAATACTCGAGCGAAAGGTACCGGGGCGTCCAATTCACACCGGGCATGAAGTCGCCGGTGCCTTCTCGAGGTGCATTGTCCGGGATCCGGATCATGCCTCTCGCAATCGGCCGCTGCGTACTTGACAGTGGCGTGGGAGTGTCGTTTTGATACCCGTCTGGCAACCCACGGTAGTGATTGGCACCGCCCCAGTCGTTATAGGCCAAGACGGTGCACGTCGTGTGGATGAGCACGAAGTCGGCGTCCAAGGGATTCTTTGCTTTGACGATGAAAAACCCCTCGCGCTCGCGTATGCGTCGATGGCGGTCCGTCGCTCGAATGATGACCACGTAATACCCCGGCGACCAGGTTTCCTCGTCCAGAGGTATCGACAAGGCCTCCGGCCAATTGCAGCCAACGGCATAGGCGTCTGAGGGAGTCTCGTGCTGATGTCCCGGCAGGCCCTTCTCGTGGAAGACAGACAGAGGTGTCACTCCGTCTTTGATGATTTCGATGTCGTACACCGACGCCGCCGAGTATGTTCTAAGCGAGACGGATTCGTGTTGGTGGTATGAGAACTTGTCGCAATATACCCAAATGTCCAAATTACCAGGTTCTGCACCAGGGAATTCTACCAAGCCGCCTGGGCGTGACCAGGCATAGTCTGGCTCTGAAGGTGGTCGTGCCATAGTTAGTACTAGCCTCGTTACTGTCGTCACACAATGAATAAGGATGCGTGTTGAGTGAAAGCTGGTTTTGAGTAAAATTTCAGCCATTGATTTACTTGTGTACTACCCAGCAGAAAGAGTACTCGGTACACAGGTCTGCAATGCCACGGATGCACGGCATGGAGATCATAGTCGCAGTCGTATCCACTTGACAAGGTTGCTGATAAGGAGTTTGGGACGAGGACCAATGTGCAATGACAGCGTCCCATATCCGACGTCCGTCACAGGGCTTCTATGTAGCCACGTGGGGACCGGACAGGGCTGTTGTCTACCAGGAATGGCCGAGAAAGAGGGCAAATAGATCGTGGGACGGCGAACAGACTGCGAAACGCCGCTCTGTTTCCTATCATGGGACCCGATTGCCTCTTTCTTTATCAGCTATAGCACCTAGGACTACAGCGCAACTCTTGGAGCAATGTTTAGTTGGGCACTTGTTGAACTCCTCGATCAAGCCTGAACCCGATATGCACTCCCGTAGGCGTTAGCGTAGGTACTCGGTATAAGCCCCCGCCAGTCTAACCAAATACAGAGATTTTAAGAGGACAAGCTTTGATGGCCACTTTCTCCATTTTCTGCCTTTGGCGGGGTGATGTATCGACGCACTAACCCGGTTCAGTGGCCTTTTGTAGGATAGGGTTATCGGCACATCACCGTGTACACGTGAAAAATCCAGATCCCCGGAAACCCAGGATTGTGGGAAACCTCCAGTCAGAAGAAAGCGGCGCGTACTTTTCATCGACCGTCGAGACACACAGACAGAAGGGGGAATGGTTCTGGACTGCCCCAATGCCTATCTCGCACTCGGTGCAGATCCACCCTTATCAATGTCAATGTCAATGTCGTGGATGTGATTTGCGTGGTGGGAGGTCGGCAAGGCAGGGCAGGGCAGGACAAATATGTTCACGCTCGGTCGGCTATACCTTGACCTATCTACTCACTCTTCTTTGGTCTTGATTATCATCTCTCTCTACGCCCGCACTTGTTGGAAAAACCTTTGTGCCTCAGCAACAAGTGCGCAAGTATGTCCCACGACGACGCTGAATCCCGTATCGAGGCAGTGGGAACGACAAAGCTCGTGAACTGTAAGTACTCTCAATGTTGTCTGTGTCGGCATGGGGTTTGAACATTGGCTGACTCGCTCTTGAACTCGCAGTCCCTGAGAAGGGAGATGGCGCCGACAAGGACAGCAGCACCATCATCTTGATCCCCACGCCGACCACAAATCCCAATGACCCCTTGGTATGTCTCTCCTTTCTAACCCAAGGCTCCGCAGAACAGACTGGCTGATTGAGGTACTTCAAGAACTGGCCTCTCTGGCGCAAGTCTTGGTTGTCGACTGTCACGCTGTTCTGGTGTTTTATGATCAATGCATCGTGAGTGCCTTCCCCCCCCCCTTTTCACCCACTGTCTTCCTGTGGGGGAAGATGGTATTGATTGAAACCTACTCACTCACGTCTGCAGCATTGCCTGGACTTCCCCAGCCTGGGATCTCTGGGTAGCGGAATTCCCCACGACCTACACGGCCCTCAACAACACCCAGTCCGTCCTCGTCTTCACATGTGGCATTGGGATCCTCTTCACGCAGCCCATGGCGACCAAGTACGGACGCCGGCTGCCCTACATCATCGGGTCCGTCCTCGTCCTCGCCGGTCTCGGGTTTGGCGCCGCCATGAACTCGATCAACTTCATGTGGGCGTACATGATCCTTTCGGGCTTCGGGTCCGCGCCGAGCTACTCGCTGAACGAGAGCAGTCTCCTGGACATCTCGTTCCTGCACCAGCGCGGCCGACTGATGGGCATCTACGCGCTGGTCCTCCAGTGCGGCAACTTCCTCCCGCCGATCGCGTGCGGCTTCATCGTCGACTCGCAGGGCTGGCGCTGGGTGCTGAGATACCTGTTGATATTCCAGGGAATCTCGGCACTGCTCATTATCTTCAGCGCCGAAGAGACTGTCTATCCCCGTCAATCACAGATTCCCGTCCACGTGGGCAAACCTGTCCGGCGGCCGCCCGTTGCCACCACCACCACCACCGAGCAACACGGAACTGCCCGTCTGTCCACGTCAAAGGACGAATTCACCGGCGCCGAACGGGCCACCAGTGCCACTGAAATCACCGACGAGGGCCCCACCACGGCTTCCCACGTCGTGGACGACACGATCCCGATCCATCCCTACCGCAGACGACACGCGCTGATCACAAAGGACCCCACGGTCAAGCAAGGGTACTGGCAGCTTGTGGTCTCGCCGTTCCCATACATCGGACTGCCCGCCGTGGCGTGGGCCAGTTTGATCGTGAGCTTCAAGAGCTTTCTGACCAGCTTCATCTTCAGCACGCAGGCGAGCTTCTTCTCGATCCCACCCTACAACTTCAGCGCGGGGACCATGGGCCTGATGTTCGTGGCGCTCGTGATCGGCAACGTCATCGGCGCCGTGCTGGGCGGCCTGGGCGCCGACTGGCTGATCCTGCGCCTGGCACGGCGCAACCGGGGCGTGACGGAGCCCGAGCACCGGCTGTGGGCGTTCCTGCCCGTCCCCTTCTGCTGCGCCGGCGGCATCCTCATGTACGGCCTCGGCGCGCACTACGGCCTGCACTGGATCGTGCCGTGCCTGGGCCTGACGCTGATCGGCGTCGCGGCCAACATCCTCATCCCCGTGGCCATGACCTACGCCTTCGACTCGTACAGCGACATCTTTGACGAGTCCGTCCAGATGATCAATTTTCTGCGCAACGCCGTCGGCGGCGCCCTCTCCTTCGCCATCCGACCCTGGATCACCGCCAGCGGGCCCAAGAACGCCTGCATCGGCATCGCCATGATGCTGTTCGCCGTCTACATGACTTTTCTGCCTTTTGCCGTCTGGGGCAAGAAGTGGCGCACCGCTACGGCGGGGTACTACGTGAAGATGACGCGCAAGAATGACAAGTGGGCGACGTAGACGGCGGAAGCATGATTGATGGATGGATGGATGGATGGATGGATGGAAGGAAAGCGGGGAGCGGTGGAGGGAAAGTGGAAGAGGAAGTGAAAGAAAGAATTTCGTGGTGAAATTCACTCCGTAGGTGAGCCATGTATCATCTTTGAGAGAAAATCAGACTGAAGGAGCTCGATGATGTCTCGATTCACATCAGACAGTGCTGTACTCGTGGTGTGTGTGTGTGTGTGTGTGTGTGTGTGTGTGTGTGTGTGTGTGTGTGTGTGTGTGTGCGCGCGCCGTATGTCGTGACCTTAGAACTTCCCTGCCATCAACCTCTAAGTTGCCGTAAACCACCCATTTATACATCTCCAACGAGGCAGCATGAAAAACATCCAGGCGACAAAAACGCCCGATATAGCACATCAACCCTTAAAATGTAACAACGACATCAAGCAGCAGCAGCAGCGTAACGCCGCCTACCAAATCCCCAGCTCGACCTTCCACTCGCGAGCAAGGCTGTCCAGGGTGGTATATCTCCCCTGCCGCCGTCTCGACCACAGCTCCTGCATCAGAGATTTGAGGTTCGAGGGACAAAATGCGGCCTCGCTCGGAAATAGCTCCGAGAGCACGTCCTCGGCGAACGCGCGTCTCGTATCTTCCTCCGTCAAGCATGATGCGACGATTATAGGCCAAATGACCTGGCGTTGATTCTCCGACAAAGTTCGCTTACAATGTAGCCAATAACCCTCCACGACCTGCCACAACCGATCCAGAATGTGTGTGTGGGTCGAATCTTGGAGCTGGCTGGGATGTAACTGCGGTGCTGAAACCCACAGTTGAGCTGCCAGTCGGTACGCATGCCAAATCTCGAGTGTGCATGATGGCAATATGGTTCTTACAATCGAATCGTCAGGCTGCCACGCTTCTAGTCGCCGGAAGATGTCTGCGCCCGAGACTGCCGACGCAAGCAAATCCAAGAGGGTCCGCGGGAGATTGGTATTTGAATCGATGCCACTTCGTCCCGAACACATTGTAGACCAGACGTACAGGGAGTCCGAACTCCGACCGATGAGCCAAATATCCATGTCCAGCCCGGCTAGACGATCGATATTCGGCTGAGGGTCCTGGCATGCAAGAGCAATCGAAAGCAAGCCCTTCAAGTGACCTGTCCATTTATAACCCGCTTTCATCTAAGATTTGACGTTAAGGTGGAGGTTGTTCCGCGAGACAGGTCGTGACTTACGGCAACATGACACATCAAAAATCCTGCTGCCAGCAGTATATCGTTGTTGGTCTCGACGGACCCTCTCAGTCGGCTCTGAAAAATGCCCAGAGCGGACGACACTCGTGCTAGAGCGACCGGCGACGAGCCAAATTGCTCTAGAAGCTCGAATGCGACGATTGCCTCCCGGACGGGCGGATAAGTGAAGCACAGGGATCCATATGTCTTCACAAATTGATTGTCCCACATATTGGACCAATGGAGTTGGAGGTGGCCAGAGGTCAAGACTCAATATCTGATCTCAGTACAATGGAAAACAAGCTGCCGCAGAGCACCGGGGATGACATACACCTTTCGATAAGTTGATTGTCATCGACGGATTGCAGGATGACACTGGGAGGAATGTTGTCGTTATCATCGTTACTCTTCGTAGGACTTTTCTCTCCTGAACATTGCAGAGATGTTCCATTGTATGTGTTGCTCTGATTCACATTGCTTGAAACCACACCTGTGAGTACCGCATTCTTCCACCTCAACGGGCGGTCATAATTGCAACGAAATCCTAAACGTGCGCACCGTTGGCATGTCGGCTTCTTCTCATCACATTTTCGGCTAGCGCTCAGACAGCTAGAACACCCTGTTCGTGACCGGGTGGTCGAAGGACGTGTTCTGGCCGACATTGGGCGAGAGACCCTAGTTAGTGGTGATGAAGAGCAGCTTACTAGCTATCAATTAATGCCGCGCCACAAGAGGAAGTCAGTGTAGGAGCGGCGTTCCACCTGTGACATGGGGAAGTCGTTTATCGACCCCCTTTGATTGGTGCAGAGGTGCTCGAGTACAAGCAGAAGTTGGCAGTTTTCCCGAAAATGCCAGTGACCCCAGCAGGCCGTGTCAATGGGAAAACAAGAGTGCCACAGCCTTATCCCTGACCAATGACTCGAAGATTCCTTGAGCGCAGCTTCTCCATGCCTTTGAACAAAGACCCTGTCGCTTGGTCACAAGGATCGAAGACCCGTAGGTCGCCTAAAGGAACCGTGAAGAGTTGGTCGAACATTGGGGAGCAAGGATACTCTGATCAGTGGAGAAGGATGAACGGAGAGAAATGGAGAGTCGGATCACATGCTGTACACATGGGTCAAACACGTGATGATGCGCGATTTCGGCCCCCACAGCTCGCTCACCTTCTGCCGGCCTTCCCTGACTCACGTGAGAGCACAGGGCGGCATCATTCTTGGCCGAATATGGAAGTGGCTCGAGCAGATTTACAAACTCTTGGCGGAACATTCTCTCTCCAAATTCGAAGCTGCGATCCAAACACGCGAGTTACAACATCACGTGTAGTCAATTCCTCAATGAGAGCTGATTGTTCTGCGTTCTTCGTTTGACAAGCCCAACCTCATCCTCGGTTCAGCGACCAAAAATGAATGTAAGATGAGTTGTGGTCAGCTTTTGCGACATCGCTAATGTTTTCGCAGTTCACTCCCATAAACCCGCGGCCTCTGCTTCAGAGCTTGTACGTCCTCGCACCCTTGTGTCAAAGTGCGCGAGCACTTCCCCCTGATCGAGGCACGGCTTGATCGCCTAGATACGCGTATTGACAGATTGTATCGCAGGATCAACGACGAGGTTATCATCCGTTTAAAATGGGGTCAAACAGAATACAAAGGTCGCCTAATCAGTGTCGACTCGTACATGAATATTCAGCTCTCAAACACAGAAGAATATATTGACAGGAAACATACGGGGACTTTGGGCCAGGTGCTCATAAGGTATGGTCTACAGGGTTCTGTGCGTGCTGGCACTGCATGACTGACAACTTTTTAGGTGCAACAACGTTCTGTGGATATCTGCCGCCAAGGGAGTCGAAATGAACGGCGAAGGACCCGACACCAAAATGGAGGATTAGGTTGGCAACATCCTGTAGAAACAGAGGAGCATGATGGATTCAGGATTCCACAAAGTCGGCCATGGAGCTTCAACACTGTTCCTGCACGACGAGCACATGCTCAAACAGTCACATCTTGCTGGTGGCATGCAACGAAATGCATTCTTGTCAGACAAGCTGAGCACCACCGAGATGCTGGCGGAAGGGGAAATCGATGCGTTCCTTCATCTAGCTGCTGACATCGCAGCCCGTGGAGCGAAACCAAGCACTAGAAAGCAGTCTAGTCTGGTACTGAGAATTCACACTCGAGACGACAAGCACCGTCATGACTCTCCCTTGGCACCGAAAGGAGTCGCCGCAGGCAGTGGCTTCGTGTATGCAAAAGAGCCATCCTCCAGGGCCCTCGGTCATGTCCTGCAGGTCAAAAGTTTCCACTAGGAGTTGGTCATACATAACAACCCGGGCCAATTCAGGAGGATGAAGGCGGGCTTCCTTCAAGCCACAAATAGACTGTCTACCCGAGGCGTCACTGGAGGGGCAGGTTGCGGGCACCGATGATCAGAGTTCTTGCCATGTGCTTTAGCAGTCCGCAACACGAGGACATGTTCAGCAATCTCTTCAGGAGACAGCAGTTTTAGTCGCCTCTCCCGAGAAAGACAGGAAACAGAGTTCATAGAACTTGATGCGAGCAAACAGGAAAATTCCCCAGTACCTCTGTAGCTTTTGGCCCCTTGGGAACTGTAATGTTTGCACGCCGCTTGAAAACAATAGTCACAGGCGTACCACTGCAATGTCACCATTCTAGGTTTAGAGAGAATTGGCTCTGCCAGCCGCCTTGGTAGTTCTCAGAAGGCTTGAAGAGGCGGAAGACTTCGGACTTGGACATAGTTCAGACAACCGAGTTGAAAGGTTTCAGTCCGGGAGGCAAACTTGCACCCAAATGGGCAAATCGACCTTATTGCCTCTACCCAACCATGGCCAACCACGCCAACCTAGAAACGTCAACCCAAAATACGAGTCACCACAAGTTTGTTATTGATTATTGATTGTGCTGCGCCCTGCCCAGCTTTGCTTCGGCCACTGACCAACCAACCCCAAATCCCGTCCTTCCAGCCATCCAACCAAGAACAAAGAGGGTGCACAGTGGCACGGAACACAAGTCGGCACTTGAAGCGAATCCAACGTTGTGAATGTGCGATCTTCCTGTCCTACGTGGCTTGATCACCGTCCTCGTACGCCTCGATGTGCCCTACCAATTCGATAGATGCCTTCCTTGAATATACCCTGCAACGCCCGCCACCATGTGGTTGATCGCTGGCCTCTCAGGCTTCGGGACCACCATCAGCCACACACGAGACCCTGAAAATTGGTCACTGAGGCCCGGTGGGGAGGCTCCACGCTCGGTTCTGGGTCCTGCGAGGGGTCTAGACATGGTACAATCCATTCTATCCGGGGGAGCATTCGCATGAAGGAGGGGAATGACGGGGGCGGCGTCGTAGCCTCTGCCTTCTATTGGGTTCCCAAAAACTCTCAAACAGGGGGCTGCCGACGCGAGGGCAAAATTCTGAATGCTAGGCGGGGACTTGATCGTGTGCCGTGGACAAAAAGGGATAGGAAACAATACTGTTAGGGCACTGCCGACCCGGGTTTTCCTCTGGTCCTATATCATTACCTGCCCTCGCTGTCCACAGGGAGCCAGTTCAGTCCCTTCCTTTACTCACAACATTCGTTTCTTGATCTCTGAGAAATCCAGAGCACCACACACATCCCGCAGCGACCAGGCGACACCTCCTTCACCCTGCCTAGGCTACACTCCCTATCATGCCTTCCAAATTCACAGAGATACTTGATCCTCAATACCAAACAACATCACCTCAGGACGATGTGCGGTTGGAGGACATCATAGGTGCCGCCAATATGTCAGTTCGAGATCGAACATCCTCTGAGGCCAGTTCGACGAGTCACAGTTCATCAAGTGCCTCAAGTTCCGACAGTGACCGTATCGAGGAGAAGCAGAGGAGAAAAAGGCTCTCACGCTTACTGTCAGGAGGCAAGCGATGATTCTCATTAGGTACAACTTTCTCTATGCAACAGAGAATACACAATCACGACCTCATGGGATCAACGGCACCATTTAGCAACAGTTATTGGCGTACACCTTCCTGACGACCACACAGAATGTCCTTTATTGACGACTTCTTTCATCTCGATGCGACAGAGCAGAGGCATTTTGGAGGAACGTGCACACCGAGTGCTGGCGCCCTTCGCTCCTGTCATTTCGTTCCCACAGATTTTCATTCACCATCACCCCATTGCGACAAATGGAAAGAAGGGAGATGAGCGAAAAAAAAATTGCCTTGTGGAAGCGAGGGACCGGCCCGCGCGTATGAAATTCAGCCAGTCGAGACGGGTTGCCATTCCCACACCAGACACTTCTAGACCCGAAGCAACTCGACTTTGATGTGAAACTAGCTCAGCAAAAAAAAGGGGGAGATCAGCATGGGCCCTGCAATTATTCATATTATTCTGGAACGCAACAGCGAGTTCTCCTACCGACTCCCCTCCTCGGAGAAGTATAGACATCAATTCTCGAAAGCGGTGGTGTCCGGTAGTGCGGAAGATCGAGATTGCCATTTGCTGTATATGGACGGGACGACAGATCCGAGACAGCCAGACTCTCGCAAAGACGGAGAATCTCACGATCGTCTTCAGTGAGGTGGAAGCTGGTGATCCGGTCGAATGAACTTGAACACAAGTCGCTGGGGTCGTCGATGTCGCCCATAGCTTCGTCCATGTTGGCCTCACCACCATATATCCATGTTACCTGAATTGGAGAGATGCATGAGAGATGCATGGTGGCTGGCAGACATTCTCGGTCCATGTCATACTGCAGCAGAGGGGAAATGTAGATCTGCATCGATCCATTTTAAAAGATACATTTTACGATAGAATGAAACGAACGAAATGATTGAATCTTAGCGTGAGCTTTGGTTGCAGACTTGTATACATACTATCAGCGAATGCTAAGAAAACGTACGAGTAGCTCGAGAACTACGAGGTACAATAATTGGGGTTGTGCCCCGCCAGGGAGGGTTGTTTAGTTACTCGTACAGGCGTCATCCTTACGGGTCGAAGCCTAACAGCATGCCTCCATGCTTAGAACCAGCCACGATCTAACGCTCTCCCGGCCCACGTGTAAATCCCACAAGCCCCCAGAAGCCACAAAACCGCCAACAACTCCGGGCTTCATTCTTCAAAGAGATATTAGTTAGATATGCCCAAAAACTACCCAATTTATGCCGGGAGGATGGCCGAGGTAAATATCTCCCCAGTCTCTCTTTTCTTCAGCGGCCCCGAGTTGGCTAACAGGTGTGATATAGTGGTTTAAGGCGCTGTGTTTAGGTCCCTATTATTTCCAAACCGCAGTGGGAAACCTCGTGGGTTCGAATCCCACTCCTCTCAATTCCATGAATTCTTTTTTTTTTTTTGAATCTTGCTTGGTGTCTCGTTGTTGTAAGGTGATAATTGTGTGAGGATTGACTTTTTAGTGGTTTTTGGGAGTAATAGGTGGGGGAGGGAGGTGGACACGGACTCCTGAATTGGAATGGCGGGCGCGGGTTGGGTTGCATGTGAAAAAGCCAGGCCAGGACGCGTCTTGGAATGGGTTGTTTGTTTGATGCTCCACTGGTCGACGCTCTCTTTCGAAGTCTCTGAATACTGGCCAAAGAACTCTGCAAATTAGAAGGCAACACTGTTCATCAGATACATACTCGTTTCCCTGTATTCCCTCTCGAGGCGACACAAGAATCCGCAGCCCTCCAGACCACCAGAACAAGGGAAAACGACTTGATCTCGCATGCGACTGATATAGAGAAAGGAAAAACTCCCAGAAATGGCGACATCGAACAACAGCAACATGCGCTCTTCAATGGACGAGTCCCAGTCCCATCATCAGCCAAGTGAATTTCAGATGCGACGCGCTGCGCTGGTAGGCGAGATTGGCGAGGTGGGTTTGATTCTAATCCTGATTGCCGAGTCCTGTGTCTATGTTCGGAAGCCTGTGAAAGTGTCTCTACAAGCAACGGAGTGATGGTGCGAGGTTGCGATGTCAAGAGGCGAGACTCAGAGATCGCACTGGCCGTCCCTCTGATTCATTCATTCCTTCATTGCAAATTGACAACCTCTTTCCTCTACTCTTCAAGTTCCTCCAAGCCCAGACGTATCTTGGAACAACAGCGAGCTGACTTTGCTGCTTCGCCCTCCCTGGCGGTGTGTGCAAGGATTTTAGTCGCTAGAACAAGTCCTCGCACAGATGAACGCTTTGAATCGCAGCCTCGAGGGTATCATTGAAGTAAGTAAGCATGGCAGGTCGACCTGCTCCCCAGCTCCCAGCTTCCAGCTCCTTAATCCTACCCGCCTTTCCTTTCCATACACCTTTTTCGCGCTTCTTTTACTCCTTGCAGCGAGGCCCTCAGTCCGGCGGTTTATTGTCTGACTGACTGACCGACTAACTCGATGGTCACGAACAGATTGGGAACGAGTTCTCGAGCGTCGAGGCGCTGTGGAGTCAATTCGAGACAGTCATGGGCAGAACAGCGGGCGACGAGGCCGCCGACTCGAATGTAGACGCAAACGATAACGCGGCCGAGGCCGTGCATTCGACGGCAGCCGGTAACGCAGAAGACAAGCGTGGCGGATGAAATGTCGTCCATTGTCTGCGTGTTCCTACCCTACCTACCCGTGTAGGTTGCGGTGACATCTCATGCTGTGTCTTTAGTCACGAGCTTTGTGCAGTTGGGGAGGTTTCTTGGACCGTGGCTTGGATTGTCAACTATGCTGAAAGAAGGGTCGGGGAGACAATGACGATACCAAAACGACTCACGACGAGGGCATCGGAAGCAGAGCATGTTCCACAGAGCATGTATTCATTCTTGGAGCAGCTATTCAATGCGCTGCTCATGCGGTAATCACATCAAAGTGAGCCACAGAGCTTCAAGCTCGAGTCGAGGCTTGCTCGCACAGCGACACCCCTTCTAAAACCAGCAGTCTCATTACAGCGCCTCGTCATGCAATTTGATTGCATCCAACGCCATCCCATATGCGTACCGTCAGACATCAGCGGGCGATGTTAAGCCCAAAAGGTCAATCATACAAGATCAAAGTTTTGTACCCTGAGAATGGAAAGGTGTGATCTCCTCAAAGAGTCAATTCCTGATCCACAGGATCATAGGAATGCACATTTCCTCTTCTTCGCCTTCTTGACCTTTACCCCTTTGTTGTTTGGCTTCGCTTCGAAGCTCTCCTCTTCAACCTGGATGGCAGTGTTGATGGCCAAGTCGAATACCTCTTGGATGCCCTTGTTCTCCTTGGCGCTGCACTCAATATACCGAGCCCCCATTCGTTGAGCTACTGCGGCTCCTTGTTCTGGTGTGACAGGGGTGAGGCCTTGAGTTCGCAGGAGTTCGATGCAGGTTCGTTTGTTACGGAGGTCTGATTTGAGACCCACGAGGATCAGGGGCGTTGTTGGGCAGAAATGTAGAACTTCAGGATACCACTGTGATGACCAGTCAGTACCAAGTATGATCCAGCACGCGAGGATGCCTTACCTTGTCCATGACATTTTCTAGTGAGTTGGGGCAGTCAATAGCAAAGCACACAAACAGCAGGTCTGTTTCCGGGTACGAAAGTGGTCGGAGCCGGTCGTACTCTTCTTGTCCCGCTGTATCCCAGAGTGCGAGCTCGACGGTCTTGCCTGTGGGTTTGTGGATGGTCTGCGTGATGTAATTTTCAAACACGGTCGGCACGTATTTCTAGCCATCGTCAGCTATTTGCTGCTCACTCCCCTCTCTTATCCTGCATACCTCCGGAAAATAGCCCTGTGCATAGCTGATGAGGAGACAGGTCTTTCCACAACCTCCATCTCCGACCACAACGAACTTCTTAGAGTGCGCAGGTGGTTGGGTGATATTTGTGGCTTCTGACAGTCGTCCCGCACTGCCATAACTCATATTTGTGCTGACTGTGCCGTTACTTGTTCTCGTACTGGGTGCTCGGACGGGTCTTTTCTTTGGTGAGGAGGGGGTGATGTAGGAAGATGGACCCTTTTCGGACAGGACGGTGGATGATCGCAAAGGATAGTGGTCGGTTTCTGCCATGGTGAGTGAAGTTGGAGGGTGGGCTCTCTGTTGTGAAATTGAAAGTTAACGTGGAGAGCCCGACCGTTTGAATGGGAGCGGCAGTATTATATGTGGTGTTAATGCCTGAGGGATCTGAACATGTTGTTCAAGCAGGTTTCTGTTGAGATTTCCGAGTCAATAATAGCCGTCTCATCGTGGGATGACTGCGGTGGACTCTTTGTTGTCCGTTGTGGTTGCCCAAGTAACCACTGCCCAAACTGCATGTGAAACGCAGGTTTCGTGCAGACCTGACCCTATTTTCAGCTGCTAGGCCTGCGTCAATTGCGACATTATCGCTTATCGACATGGTTCCTGCATGCACAAGAACCATGTCGAAAATCAGTTCGTCAATGCCCTCCGGGTCGTGCTGTTGTTGAGGAGAACTCAGCTGCACCAGTTTTGCAGGCAGCCGAGCGGACGAATGAGGTAGCCCACACAATCTCCAATTCAATCAATGTCCCTGAATCACCACACAACTCGCGACCACGACAGCACTTCGACAGCTACCTCCCGCATTCTTCGCCGATAATCTCGATGCCTTCCCTTGCCTTCCACGGTCGATGTTAATGCATCATCCTCAGGAACGTACTTCTTTCCTCGGCCAGACCTGGATCCGATGGAAGGGAGCTTTGCCCGCTATCGCCCGTTGCAGAAATGAACAAGGAGAAAGATAGGCCAGATGCCGGGTTGAGGTCGCTCGATCACTGTATGTAGCGAACAACTGGTAATACCTCTGCGGAATCATTCTGACTTTGCTTCAGACAAGATCAGACTGCCACGATGGCGCTACCTATTCAGAGAACAACTCCTCCCTGTCGTGCGCTGGGAGACTCCCTACGTCGCCTGGTTACAAGACACCCTACGAACCCCCGCCTTTGATACGTACTTTGCAACGTCAGTAAACCTGGGAACACACACATTCTTCATGGTCATGTTGCCTATTTTATTCTGGTGTGGGAACACAAATCTGGGACGAGGGTATGCAAGTGCCAATCAATGGCGGGCTCATTCTGACGTGCAGTAGGATGGTCCACGTCCTGGCGTCTGGAGTTTTCTTCAGCGGGTTCCTGAAAGATCTCCTCTGCCTACCTCGACCACTTTCGCCGCCCCTAACTCGAATCACCATGTCTGGGTCTGCTGCCCTCGAGTACGGTTTCCCTTCCACGCACTCGACCAACGCAGTCTCGGTTGCTGTTTACTCACTTTACCTCCTACGGCAAGAGACCAACGACCTGGATACGAACCTCAAACTCGGGCTCCAGATTCTGGCCTACTTCTACGCTGTTTCAATTGTGCTTGGTCGGCTATACTGTGGAATGCATGGCTTCTTTGACGTCATTTGGGGAAGCATTCTCGGTGCTCTGATAGCTCTTGTTCAATGCCTCTATGGCGAGGCCTTTGATGACTGGCTTCACGGCGGCGACTTGAAACGGGTCGTGCTTGTCATTTTGATCATCTTGGTCCTAGTTCGCATTCACCCTGAACCCGCAGATGACTGTCCTTGTTTCGATGACAGCGTTTCATTTGCTGGAGTCATGATTGGCTGTGAGTACGGTGTTTGGCACTTTGCTCGCACCTCCTATGCCTGGTCAATCCCCACTAGAGGCACTATTCCATTTGATCTCGAAAAGATGGGCTGGGTTATGACATTGGCCCGCATCTTGCTTGGAGTGCTTGTGATTTTTGCATGGAGGGGCATCATGAAGCCGACCCTTCTGAGGATACTTCCACCAATATTCCGTGTGATTGAACAGCTGGGGCTCACTTTACCACGACGATTTTTCAAACCGGCCTCGGAGTACGAGACCATTCCACGGCAGCCCAATGACGACGACATCATTCCGCCCGCGCGGGATATTCCCCATCTGTTGTCATCATTTCGACGCAGAAGAGCCATCTCGGTCGGGCCTCAGTCCGAAGCTGATGCGTACGAAACACTGGCCTATCGTGAAAAGAGGAGGCGGGATAGCAAAAATGCTCTGGAGGCACTGACACCACCAATGGAAGGTTCGCCTTCATCCTCGCCCTCTCCTGACCCTGGATACTTCCAGAGTAATGAGACTGTCTCGGGAAGGAAAAGATCGAGCAGCTTGGAGATGTTCCGCGCGCAAATGGGCACAGGGATGGAAGGGCTGTCACCAATTCCTGTGATTGCGCCCGCAGATGGCAGAATACGCACTCCGGAGGAAGATCAGGCAATGGATGAATTGCAGGAACGACAGATATTCTTGACCATACAGAAACCTCGAGTCAGGTATGATGTGGAAGTGGTAACCAAACTTATCGTGTATTCGGGGATCGCTTGGCTGGCTGTTGAGGGAGTCCCGGTCCTTTTCAAGTATCTCGGACTGAGCGTACTTTGACTCAAGGGAGAAAGATGGAATCGAAAAGTGTTTTGGTTCGCAGGAATGTGATCGCGGATGTGGAGTCCATCATGAGGCAACTGTACCCTGTACACATCAAATGATACAATGTTACGAGTGTCAACAGTCGTGTTCGGGTGTTTATCTGTTTACGTGTAGTAGTAGTAGTACCAACCACTGGTCCTATCAGTACCTAGGTACGACCTCCATGTGGTAATGGGGGCTGACCCTTCCATCCTGCATGTACTGTATTTAGCTTCGTGAACGAAGGCGGTATCGGATATGAAATCCATTGTCTTGGATGCGGCGGGGCGGCAGAAAATCAAAATGGCCAATCGCTACAGTGCCGCATTTGGCATTTTGGAGAATCGCGTCTCTCTCTGCGATGATTATCCTGCATCTTTCAATCCATCATATAACAAAGACACTTTACTATTTCCCTTGACCCAAGTGACTTTGTGTCTACTCTTACGACTCTCCGACTCAGCGCGACTCACCCCTTCTCAAAGTCCTATGCTGTCAGATAACTCGCTCCCGATCTTTGTACCTCTGTTGCTCGGTCTCATCTTCATCCTGAATCTCATCCAGTTCTCGACACTCTCAGTCTACATCCCGCATCGTGGCACCCTCAAGCATCCCTCGCCTTTCCAAATTCCACAGCCATGGCTGACACCTCATCTTTCATGGATTGGCATCCTCAAACGCCTCCTCCTGCGCACAATCCGTACCAAGATAGATATGTGCCTGGTGGTTGGCCTGTCGACCCTCCGACCCCTCCCCCTCCTACCACCGGCGTCTTCATGCCCTCTCGCAGACCTTCTCCTCTTGACCACATCATCCCTGCCGCGAAGAGAATATGTACAGGCCTTGGAGGTTTGGCTGGACTCGGTTTCCACGCAGCCGCACAACTCAGCAGACGTACAATTGATGCCACAACCACTGTGGTCACTGTCCCTACTGTCTACATTGTCCGACGATTCCAGCGGCGTCGCCATGAGCAGAGACCTACCCAGCCAAAGCGACAAGCTGCACCAAGATCTTTTCCTCCACCACTTTCACAATCACCATGGAATCGAGCTGTTGCCAAAGAACTGGCCGCAGCTCAACAAACAGCCGACCCCCCTCCGCAAACACCCACAGTCCCGCCTCAGCGAGTCCCCAAACCTATCCCGCCTACAGAAGAACAACATGAATACACAGATGGTGTGTTGTACGAAATCCCAGAGTTCAGACCACAATACGTCTTGAACCGACGGAGCCAAAATGCTGCTCCCCGAGGTCCGATTCGGCGCACACGTGTCGTCGATCAGGTCTTTCCCCAAATGCCTCGATTTACACCCCCTCGAGAACCTAAACCAGCTCATCTCCCAACTCCGGACGAGAAGTTTGAGAAGCCTTTGGTAGAATGCGCAAAGCTAGAGTCTCCATATCCGCAACTGAAACCAATTCCTGCCTCACCCCCTTCGCCTGCAGTAACCATCATCTCCACCGACTCCGCCACACCGAGCGCGCAGTTGCAACAAGGATTACAAGCGGTCATTGAGAGCGACACAGAGTCAAGCAGTGTTATATCCTCCATCCAGCGATCTAGAAAGAGACGCATCCTCACACAAGGCTCCCGTTTGACCGAGAACGACGAAATCATTGCTTCGTCGAAGAGAGTCCAGACCCAAGGTCCGCGCGTGGAATCACAGACTCCCAAAATTGCCATTGTTGTCCAAGACGCACCATCATCAGAAACTCCCAAATCCCCAACTCCTACCGACACGACGTTGTTGACACCACCACGTCTAAGACTACGACGATTCAACTCATCCAGATCGGTCCTACGAAAAGAGGTTCTCCTCAAAAGTCCAAAGACTCCGTTGTCAGATATCTCATCCATGTGTGACTGCTCACCAGGAAATTATCACATCGACGCACCAAGATCTCCCGTCAAGAGCGAGATTTCTTCTTTCTTCGATGGTACACCACCCCCCAACCCAGAACTGGATGCTCATGTTTTCAGAATGATCATGTCAGGAGGCGGATCCCCAGTCCCAGCTTCCAACGCCCTCGCTGAGAGCGAGACTCCTCGAGAGACATCAATGTCGACCGCAATCGCACCATCCGGACAAACGACCAGCGGAACGTCGAATCTCGACGAACCTGCCACGCCAGAAACCCAAAGCGAGGCAAACAATAACCTTACCCCTACCACGGTAAAAGTGGCGAACGAGAATACGGAAGATATTCTTGGCCTGGCCAACCAAGAACATCATCCCCAACTCAACAATGCCACAAAAGACGTGGAACAACACATGGACACACAGGAGAATGAAACTTCCAACAATGAACCTCCAAAAACACCCATACATGTCACTCCACAAAAGATAAAAGCCGCAAGTCCAGTCGACCTGACTGATGACAAAGATGGCAGTGAATCCAGCTCCTCAGCAGCATCTTCCCTACACACTCCCGAAAAGCAATTTGCAGAACTCAGGCTAGATGATCTATATACACCAGACCATCCGACCCCCAAAGCCACACCACATTCCTCCGAAAAGACCCAGAGAGTCACGCGCGCAGAGTCCAAGAGACTTGCGATCCTTGAAGAGAAGACCCATTACGAAATTGTTCCACTCACAGAAGAATGGGAACAGAAAATCCAGACCGCGCTTCGTCACGGGCACGGCACTTTCAAACCCAGAGATCTTACCCGCGTTGTCCCTCTCAATGCACAGTCCAGTGGCGGCACCGATCAATGGCTCAACGATGAGGTTATCAACGGGTACCTCAAGCTGGTGGTCGCCCACGGCAGACAGAACGACCGTCCCACACAAGTTCCCACGCACCACGCCTTTGTGTCCTTTTTCTTCAACAACCTCGAAAGCCGCGGGTATGATAGTGTCAAACGCTGGGCTTCTCGAGCGAAGATCGGGGGGAAGAACCTACTTGAAACAGAAGCGGTCTTCATCCCTGTCAACAGCGGCAGCCATTGGACGCTTTGTGTGGTGTCAGGAAAGAACCGCACAATCGCACACTACAACAGCCTGAGAGGCAATGGGAGACGATATGTTAATGTTGTAAAGTCATGGGTCGCTGCGGAGTTGGGAACTGCATACAAGGAATCCGAATGGACCTTGCTGGAGGCAGGAGAGTCTCCACAACAGACCAATATGGATGATTGTGGAGTGTTTACAATCACGAGCGCGCGGCAGATCATGTTGGGGCTTACGCCCATGTCGTACAGCGCCGAGATGATCCCGCTGCAGAGAAGGAGGATTGTGGCGGAGCTTGTGAACGGATCGCTCTTGAAGAGCAGTTTGTAAATCGGTTTTTGTTTTTGTCTTTTGTCTTTACCTTGTTTTCTTCACGACGTTTATGACATGATGAGCTGATGACGATGATACCCCTCCCCGACGAGGATCGGGCTTTGTTTTGCGTATATATTGGTTTGGTTTGGTTTTTGACGTTGGCGTTGGTCGGCTCTTGGGAGCCAGGGGCCTGGGGCCATGAGGCCCCCTTCCTGTAGAATAGGAAACAAAAGAGAAAGAGCAGGGGGGGGGGGGGGGGGCAGATACAGAACCCCCCAATGCTAATGATGTTATGTTGACACAACGACTTTGTTTGTCCTGTGCGTCGTCCCTTGTCTTGCCCTCCTGGTGTCGTTGATGAAGATGGTGCCCGTTCCGTTCCATTTCATGTCGTGCGTGATAAGTGATGAGAGCTGAATGGAAGCACGGTCAACCCCGTTCGTAGCGTTAGCGTTAGCGGTAACAGCAACAGCAACAGCAACATGCATGAGATGTCAATGTCGAAGACGACGCTGTGTACATCATGACCCACACCTGAAGAGGACGACGTGGATCCCTGGATCGGGAGGTAGATGTGCACGGCGGTCGGTCCAGCGGCTGTTCAACAACATCATGGATCGCACAGGCTGGGAGGAACCGTGTCTAACGTCCGTGGTGCGCTCGTGGGGGTGATAAGGCCCCTTTTTAGTATCGAACATGAACTTGAGGTTGGTCATGGTGTTGGCGATGGTGATGGACACGGAGGGAGATAGCCTCGCAATGGCTACGCAGGAGGACGGCGGCAGGGGAGCAGAAGGCAGAGTCGTCTGATACAGGTGGCCAAGACTAGTGGAGGGAGGTAACAGAGGAAAGGAAGGAAAAGAGGAAGGAAGAAAGAAAGAAAGAAGAGAGATACAGAAGAGGGAGCGAGCGAGCGCAATGGTCGTGATACGGCGAAGAGCGGTTAGGGGTGGTATGTGAAGTTAAAATGAAAATGAAAATGGCAGTGATACAAAAGATGAATGCTCTATCGTGGTCGCTGGTTGGTGAATTACACCCGTCCTCTGAGGGTGTGTTACAGACAGTACTTGTATATCTTGGTAAAAAATACATCTTCCTCTTCTCTTCTCTAGAGGGACTGATGAATGATAACTGGTGGCCTTGAATGATTCAGTTGCTTTTCGGGCACCCCCTTTTCCTTTTCCTGTTTGTATCCAGAAATCAGGTCTCTATCAAGGGGGACAGGCAGTACCACCACTCCCCCCTTTCCTCGTCGTCGAATAATATGTCACTTCCACAGAACTCGTCCGCTCCAGGCCCAAAACCTCAACGATGGCCGAGTTGTTGTCTCCCCACGGGCCGGAACCACTCCAGCGTGCCCACGTAGCCGCCACTACGGAGGTAGGGGAGACAGCCCATCCAAAGATCCTCGAGCACGCCGTGGCCGAAGTGCAGGGTCAGGCGCGCCCAGGCGTCCATGTCGATGCGGGCGATCCAGGCCAGAAAGGCCATGAGGATGAAGTCGGCGTAGGTCGGAGAGGACGTGCCGGAGAGGTAGCGCACGCGGTCGCTGGAACCGTGGACAGTGCTCGCATCGGAATTCCAGTCGAGTGCGTCGTGTAGCTCGGGACCTTTCACCTGGGGGCAGTCCTGCAGTGCGCGCAAGATGGGGTCGAGTTCTGCTTCAATGTTGGCCCACAGCCGATCCATCTCTTCTTGGGTCTTGGGTCGGAGCTCGTCCAGCGACGACACCTCAAACCATTCGCTGCGTGTTCGGATAAAGTACTCTCTCCCTCTGTCGTCGAGAATGTCCGGCACCGAAGGGATAATCAACCGGCGTGTCGCGGGGAGGATGCGAGTGATGATGCCCTGGACTTGTCGCGTCTGTTCCAGGGAATGTTGGTCAGGGAATAAGGAAGGATATCTCTCAGGGCCGCGGAAGAGCACTTCGAGCGCCATGGCGATGCTCAGCGACGAGACCACCGGCGTGAATATGCCGTACCTCGTCTGCACCGTTTCGTGGACTCCGGGGACTTTTGCATCATGTAGCCCTTTCAAGGCGTCTGGACCAAAGCCGTCGGCGTCGATGAGGAGGATGGGTAATGTACAAGTCGGCGAGGTCCGCCGTTGATTTCCCGAGACATCCTTTCGTGGCGGGATCTTCAATTCCTGCCACAGCGGCTCGATGTCCGGAAACGAGATCCAGGATTCTGTGTACGGGAGGCCCTTGTAGTGCAGGGCCAGCCGTGAGCGGATCGTGTTTGGGGAGAATGAGTTTTGGGCGCGTAGGAACGAGTTGGACGAATGGACCCGGTGGATGGAGAAGGGCGATTGATTGCTCGCGATGTCGAACAGGAGAAGACGCTTCTGGGAGGCTGTTGTTGCATCCTCACCCGTCCAGAGGGATCGAGCCTTTGAGCGTGTGCCGAACAACCTGGCATCCAACCTCTTGGGGAGGAGAGAAACAGGTCGGAACATGCGTGGGCTCTTTTTTATGCTGATCCGCGCTCTCTTCTTCAAGATGTCTGGGAGAGGTGTCCTCGCTCAAATGGTGGGTTTAGCTCTCAGGCCCGAAGTGTGAGGGTTTGAGATGTGCATTCGGCTCACAGACGCAAATGGGATTGTATTGTATGTGTCTTCCGTGTTTGTTCTCAGGTGACGAATTATAAATTTGCCCTCAGTCAGAAACTCCGTCGTCGTGTCGAGAAGAACAGATGAGCCCTTATGGTCGGCTTCAACGCGCCATCCATGGAAGCCTCGACGTCCCTGATTATTGTTTGGACAGTCGAGTTCGCGTATGCCACTTTGACTGGCCTGGAAGACGAATAGGTAGAGCAAGGAAATTTCTCTCTCGTGACAGGGGGTTTTCAAGCTGGTTTCAAGCACTGAATAATCGTACGCTTTGCAGACGGAGCTCAGATAGTGGTGACTACACGGCGAATCCACGTAGATCGCGTATGGTGAAAAGCAACGAGTGACTTGACAATGTTCACAGCTGGGAATGAAAGTCTGGGTGGTGAGATGTGATGAGGTGATGCGAGCTGAGGTTCCAGGATTATTGCTACGAAAATGGTCCGTCTGACATGACATTTCACAGCATTACACCTTCCATTTCAACCCCAACATGGCGGATATGGTTATCGTCTGACATGGAAATTAGTACAACTCGAACAGGTCCAGTTTGGTGCGACCGTCTCTCATCATCCAAGTCCTATAATCTATCCAATCGAACCGGCAAAGGAGAGTCCAAAAGACCGGGCAGCATCACAGAACACAATGTTCCATATGTCCAACGTTCCCGAGCCGAATCAACCCCTCGAGCTCCAGGCAATCATCATTCAACCACCCTCGACCAGCCACTTCTTCAAGAATTCGGTCTGAGTTCCAGCATTCCTTTCGAAATATGGTCCGGAATACGCTTCAAAGTGTCCACAAGGTAACAGTTGCAGTTGTTTGGGCTCTTTTGCGCGGGCGAATGCCCCGAGTGCAAGGTCTGCTGGTGTAAGCACGTCCCCCCTTGCAACCGTCATGAGGAGCGGCGTCGGCGAGATCTTGTCAATGAGTTGCTGCGGCTCATAAGCGCGGAAGAGCTCGACTCTAAGGGGGAGAGTGAGTAACTTAAAGGCGGCAAGAAGAGCAGGTGGCAGATTCTAGACTCACGTCTTGACAGTGCAGGTATTCTTCCACTGAGACTTCTTCTCCCAGGCGGTAAAGAATTCGTAGCTGTCTGGTGTCGGCAGTGCAGATGGCTTCAGAGGATCAGCATCCACTACAGGAACCATCCCAGGTTCCTTTCCTTCGGCTCGTGCAATTCTGTCTGCGACGGTGTCAGAATGTATCGGCTGATCAACATGTGTCAAGGTCCCAAAATAACAGACCTGCAGCAAAGGTCGCATTAAATCCGACCGCAAAATCTGGACGCACAAGACGATTGAAGTTGTCCCATCCACTGACGCAAGGGACCTGGCTGAGTACGGCTTTGACTCTTCGATCCACAGCCCCGACGTATAGCACGTGGCCGCCACTGTATGACGAACCCCAGATTCCAATCTTGTCCGGGTCAACTTCAGGCCTTGTCGAAGCATAGGTGATGGCGTCGGAGATGTCACTACATTGAGTCATGGGGATGATCTCACTCCTCGGCTCCCCTTCGGCGGTATCGCTGTCACCAAAGCCGCGATTGTCGTAGACGAGGCAGGTGATGGGCAGTTTGGACACAAAGTATTCAGCGAAAGCGTCCAGGTCCATTTCCTTGAGGGCCGTGAAGCCGTGGGACATGACGAGGCATGGTGCTTTCCCGGCAGCCGAGTCGCTGGTGTAGAACCATCCTCTCAATGTGACCCGATCCGAGGTCTTGAACTCGACGTTTTCTCTGCCCATTTCGAGAATAGGTCCCAGAAGCAAGTCAGGATCCTATAACCACATGTCAAAATTGGAGTGTTGCACAAAGATCAGTCGAAGCACCGAGGGAGGTGGACGAAGGATCGATCTTTATGCCGGATCCCTGGGAAGAGAAGATGTGCCGAATAGGCGAAGAACGAGAGACCCCTGGGCCGCTCGAACTAGAGCTCAGCTGCCGCTATTCTTTTGTAAGAAGGTGACCATCACGGTCAGAAGGAAAATGGAGGAAAGACGTTTCCGATCACCTTAGCAAACAGCAAACTGATAGACTGCCCGCATTGGTGACCTTTCATCTAACCCCGCATGGGCCATTACGATGATGAGATGTTTTGAGTTTGCAACATCTGGATCCCCTTGGGAGTTGAGGACTCCTCGCGTAACAAGTTTTAGCCCATGTGTGTTGGCCGACAGCTCTGCGGGACCGCTCGAGAACGGGAAACAAGATCTAAGGCATTGCCTGGAGGGTTGCGCCCGGCAGCGATGGGAGGGATATGGTTGGAGCTGGAGCTACAGGCAAATGGAGTGTTCGATCGGTACCGCTCAGCAGGGTGATGGATTGTATTTCTCCCTTTTGCTCGTCTGCAATGGGCAAATCGGGCAAGGGAGGAGCCGGCCATTCTTCAGGCGGAGGGACCGAGGCTAGGTGCCACCACGACGTTTTGGAAAACCTGCATAAGTGTAACTCGAACAGGGAGCTGGGATGGCTTGTCTAGTTAGACTGGCTTGCATGGCGCCAATGCATTGACTGCCCCGTCGGCTCGCTGGCCCTTGTGTGTGCGTGTGTGTTTGTGGACTCTGGCTGCATCTTCTTGACGACTTGGCAGATTGTCAAGGGCGGAAAGGACAGGGAATATGAGTCGTGTATCTTGTCGTAAGAACGAGAGATTTTGGTGTCTTTGGGCTGGACAATAGACCATTCGCCCGGGTCAGTCAATCTTTGGTACCGAGGTGGAGGTGAAAGTAAAAAGTAAAGGTGGATGGAGATGGGCGCAGGCGGAGACAGGCAGAGCGAGACCGAGCGAGTCAGTTCAATGGTCCTTGGAGATAGTTAGCTGCGTTCCAAAGGTAAAGACTGCATCTCTATTACTCCTACTCCATGCATACTTCTTCCCTGTGATGACGGACGGCCTGAAGGCCCAGTTGAAATGCCTTCCTGCGTGCATGATGCCTGGTCACTCAGTGGTTTCTTCGACCTCGATAAACCCAAGCCACCGCCGCCGCCCGCAGCCTCGAGGCGCAGCCCCTTTTATGACCTGCTCACCACACACAGCCTTGCCAGTTGCTCCCGACAGACAAACAGTTTGCTAGAGTGAAAATATCTCCATTATGTTTGAGCCTAGTCGAGTGTCTATTGCTTGTGCCAGTCAAGCTCCGTCTCAGACATGTCGTACCTTTGCTTCATCACACTGTCACAAACACGCTCCTGGTCGACGTGACCTATTCTTCGGGATGTGTATGCTCTCGACGCCTTTCAACTCTTCTGGTGCCTCTGGCTTGTGTCGAGACGAATTCCTTTCCTTGTCCCGAGTATAGCAATCAATCGTCAATTGCAGTCTCCGCCCCGATCTCCATCGTGTCATGTTCCACCACCCTGCCGTCCTGCAGTTTGTCTTCCCAATCTTCGCTCCCACTCACCACACCGAACTGCCCACGACTTAACGACCTCGCAATCTCCTGTCAATGCAGGGCGAAGCCTCCTTGTCCTTTAGGAGGAGGCGGTCTTCTCCTTCTCTTTGATGGCGGCAGCAAAGAACCGCGGATACCGGTTAGAGAAATGCTTTTCGACCAGCGAAAAGATCTCCTTTGCTGTTCCGCTGGCATTGGCAAAGACCCACTCGATGAATTCGCGCTGGAGTTGGTGTTCGGCCGCTGGACACCAGCCCGCCTTGCGCGCAACCCCGCGAAAGGCCACTTGGTTCGCCTCCACCTTGAGCCACTCCGAGACGAGAATGCGGAAGACGTAGCAGATCTCAGGATGGACTTTCAGATATGCAATCGTCTCCTGAAACACTCGTTCATCACCTGTGGGCGCTTTGTGGAACTCTTGAGAGCAGTCAAGGGGCAGTGCAGCGTCTTGCATTGAGTGCCAGCTCAGATTGTCGAATCGCCATTCGTCCACGCACCATTTTTGGTTGTCAAGCACTTGTGGTCGAAGGTCAATGGTGTTGCCTTTCTCATCTTGCGCTTCGTGGCACAGGAGCATGCTGTCAATGCTCACACCCTCTTGAAGCATCGTGCCGATGATTGCCTCCCAAACTTCGGGGTGGTTCTTTCGGATCTCAGAGAAACGCTTTCGTTCCTCTCTATTGCGTTTCAGGCCTAACCGGCAGCTTGCTGGTGTGTTGAACTCTCCTTTTGGGTTTTGTGGATCGGGACAGTGGAATTGTGGCTGTACCTGGAGGTGAGGCGGCCAAGCTGCATACTGCTCGAAGCTGCGAATTACGCATTTGCCATGCCCTTTGTCTCCGTCGTTTCCTTTGAGCGTAGTTGACTTCCACCACTCTGGCGGTGGCCTCATCTGGTCAACCGAGAAATCAATTGCCTCCTCCACCAGGCCATGGTACTGTATTGGGACATGTTCAAACGACACAGTCTTTCTCCTGACCCGTGACTCGACCGGATCCCCAACTTTGGCAGCCTCTGGCTCTGACTCTCGCTCTTTTCCCTCTGGGATTGAGTCCTTCTCGGGCGAGACCTGCTCGGCACCGACCTTCTCGTCTCCCAGCTTTTCCGCTGGAGGATTTGCAGGGCTCGTTGCCTCTGCGGCGATGTTTGGTGGCAATATTCCGTTTGCAATATTGTATTCCAGGTTCTCGAAATACTCAACCACCGGATCCTTGGTCAATGGCTCTGGTTTGACGTGCGATGGCTCTACAGGTGACCCCTGAGCCACCTGGTCGCACGAGACAGTCGAACAGACTTCTTCTGTCTTGATCTCTTGCTGGAGGATGTCGATTCCAGCGTAGGGAGGGGGAAAAGGAAAGAAGAACTCTGGTGGCGGATATTCGCCTTGCCTGGACACTGTTAACATCAAAGAACGACATGTATGGGAAGGACGCCCACCAGTAGACCAAACGCGGCGGATGCAGCGCATCTCTCATCTCTACGTCCTCCATCTCTTCATAGTCGGTCATCACAACGTCAGTGTCCTCCATCTCCAGACACACGACCTCGGTGGGTCGGCGTTGTGCTTCTTCGTCCTCCTGGACCGCATCGAAGTCCTTCTCCAGGAAGAGACCTGGCTCGGCCAGGTCACTCAGGAACCTGGAGTGGTCGTTGTCTAGGGGCACGAGATGGTCGAGGCTCTCATATTGTTTCTCGAAGCGTTCAGGCGTCAAGTGTCTGCGCTTTCGCAATGTTCGAGATGGCGGGATGGGCTGGGTGTTGGAGAATGGTTCAATCAGCTTGACGCGTGTAAAGTGACAGCGACTGCGGTTGAGTTCCTTGATCTGCCTGCGCAGACTGGGTTGAATTCCTTTGAAGGGGACAGCAGTCAAAGACCGGATGGGCTGGATGATGGTTCTTGCGATCTTCATGTTTGCTGTTGTGAGATTTCAAAGTCTGATCAGGAGGAGGATATCGAACAGAGAATCAGTGGCTGAAAGAGCATCAAGCTTTCGAATGGCGCTGAGAGTATCTGAATCTGAAGCCGAAGAGATGAGATGAGAGAAGGAAGGTAGGTTGTCTCGAGATTCGATACTGTCGAGAGGGAAAGAGATGAAGACAACAAACGCGACAAGGTGAAAACTTTGGTAAGGTCTGCATTCACTGTGAATGCTGCCTTGATCCATTGCGCGCGCACATTTCACTCGTCACAATAGGAACCGGCAGAACCTTTCAATAGTGTCTCGAGCAGTGAATGCCAGGGATGAATGGCAGACCTTAGACGCCTCCATTCAAAGTGCAAGTAGGGTCGCCTCACCAATACCTCCCCATTCATCCCATTGAGATTGTCTTTCGGGAAATCCACCCCATTCTTCAGCGTCGCACGGCTTCAATGAGCCCTGTATAAGCAATTTTCTGCCCACCACATACTTGTTGACGACACGTGAAGGTCTTGCATCACTGCTCAGCAGCTTGGGACCCTGGTGCTCCTGCAGAAAGGCAGGCTCGGCCAAAGACCACATTGTCTGTAGTATGCACGGCATGATTTGAATCATTGGTAGGGTGGGCTGATATCACGACTTCGGGACGCTGTGTGCTCTCCCACAGGGCTCAGTGTAGAGAGACACAGAGCCATCCCGAAGACATGACCTGAATAACCAGCCATGATCCACCACAGATTTCGACTCTATTGTATGATTGAGAGGCCGAGTCGTGTGCTTCGAGCGATACGATATCGAAGTGCATCATAGTGGCAGATATAGAAGCTTCGACGGCCAAAGAAAGTCAAGACGGAGAAGGGCGCTGTCTCCACCAATCTCGCCTGCTGTTCTCGGCCTAACAGGCGAGGATGGCGTCCACTTGAGATTGTTTATATATATGTGTAAGGTTCACAGCAATCAATGCTGGTGCTTCGCCAATCTGGAAATCGAGTCGAGGAAAGCCAGACATACATCATGTCTGACCAGATATATGATGTGGTGATCGTTGGTGCGGGTCTTTCTGGCCTGCAAGCGGCGCTTACCGTCCATCATGAAAACCTCAATTACTTGGTCCTCGAGGCGAGGGATCGAGTGGGTGGGAAGACACTGACTCTGCGCTCCAGCGAAGGGGCCGTCAAGTCCGATCTGGGGGCTGCGTGGATCAACGACAGCAATCAAAGTCGCATGTGGGAACTTGCGAATGACCTTGGACTGCATACTTATGTCCAAAACACCAGTGGCAACGTCGTTGTCCAGGATTTTGACGGGACGCTCGTCAAGTTTCCATACGGGTGAGCTGCCCCTCCCTCGGAGATCTGCTTGTCCCCAGCACAGTCGTATTGTTACAGTGCTAATCGAGTTTCCAGCGATGTACCCAAGGTTTGAGACCCCTTTACCGCCGATTTTGGCCAGGTTATCGGTGCTTGGGCGTAAGATGGTTGACCCTGAGCCTTTGAGCAGTATCCGTCCGACAGTGACACAGAGTCATGCATATCAATCCGAGATTTGGTCGAACACATCTCCACCACGCAGACACCGTCGATCTTCTCGGCAGGACCTCATCGAGAGCAGCTTGACTCCATTTCTTTTGAGACGTTCCTGCGGCAAGCAAAGGTGACGGAGAAGGCGTTCGCGACGGCACAGGTCTGGACTCACGCCATGTTGGGCGTCGACCCGGCCGAGGTTTCAGCTTTATACTTCCTCGAATGTATGTAGGTTCCAGGCCGTGCGTGTCATCCAGAGACTGACGAAATATTGTGTAGATTGTGCCGCTGGCGGAGGGTTGATGACCATGCGATCCGACTGCAAGGATGGTGGCCAATATCTCCGCATTCGAGAAGGCACTTCAGCCTTCGCGGAAGGAATGGCACAAAGACTGAAGCCTGGGTCGATCAAGCTGGACAGCCCCGTCGGAGCGATAGATCAAAAGCAGGACAACACCGTCTTGATCTCAACACGAGGACGCTCGCCACAAGTGTATCGTGCTCGGAAAGTCATTCTCTCGATTCCGACACCAGTGTATAAGACCATAAGGTTCTCACCATCCTTACCTGCCGCAAAAAGTGCAGCTGCCAATCACACTCGCTATGGATTCTATAACAAGTATATCATCAGATTCACCAAGCCGTTCTGGGCGGAGAGACACCTGTGCGGCCTGGGTCAATCATTCGTTGGTCCCGTATCGGTCTTCCGGGACACCAGTTTGGGCGATGATGCGTGTATGACGTGCTTCATCGGCGGAAAGTTCGGGAGGAAATGGACGGCCCAAGATGCGGAGGGGAAGAAGGCATCCGTACTGAAGCAGATAGGCGCCATGTTTGCAGACGGAGAGGACATCCGTCCTCTTTTTGTCGAAGCCTATGAGTCGCCGTGGATGGATGAGGAGTTCTCGGGCTGGGGTTGTCCATGTCCTGCGATGCCACCAGGTGTTCTTGCAGACGGGTGGAAAGCATTGTGCGCATCTTTTGGGAATATCCAGTTCGTGGGCACAGAATTGAGCACCGTCTGGAGAGGATATATGGAAGGGGCTATTCGAAGCGGAGAGAGTGGCGCGTTGCAGGCGATAGCTCAGCTGAAGGCCGGGGGGTTGCAGAACGCAAAGCTGTAGACCTCATGGAAGGTCAAGGTGGTCTTGATCCTGGAGTCGTTGTGTCTGCGAGGTCGAACAAAGCATCTGGGACCTGAGGCAGTGGCACAATATCAGATGAAGAGGCAGATCAAGATTCAACGAGCTGAAGAGGTGGTTTCGATCATTGGGTGGGATAGTGCCGGTCCACGGGGTTCCTGCGCCTGAATCCATCTCTGTTCCATCATGGACGAAATAGCCATTCTGCTTCCTACCCTTGCTTTCTGTCCTCCTTCTCTTCCTTTCTCAATGTGTCTACCAAGTGCTCCGCCTCATGCATCTCCCGTGCCCATGAGACTTCGAATTGGCCGTAATGCATGGCACCACAGTGCTGAAGGGATACGAGTTGTAACTGTAAATGTGGATCACGGCCTTTCCCGTTCCATCAGTGGCAATCGTTCATCTGTGAAGCGTGATAAACTTTTGCACAGGGATTTGCCGACCGCAACGCTGTTCCTCTGCCGCGTACCTGTGCGAAGAGCACGAGTAGGTTACATCTATCTCCACAGTATGCTTCACACGGTCGAAGGTAGTCTGCGCGATCCACGTACATAGACTGCCTTTCTGACTAGTCCTGGAGATGCTCGTCGAGGGTACGGATAGGTTGACCCTGGGGAGGAAAATCAATACAACCAAGAGAAGCCACCCTTGACGCAGTGAGCGCCTTATCGAGATAAAGGACTCGAATAGGATGGATGGACATTGGAGCTGAACACAATGTCAGTGTCTCGGATGCGTTGCTGTGCAATATGCATCCCACGGGATACAAGAGAGCTCCTCTTCATTGCTGAACCGTCTGGGGACTAAACCTCCTCGAGAACAGCCTCTTGAATAAGGGTGGGTCAAGAAGATTGTGCGCGTTCCAGTGTCTTCACTAGCAGACCTGCGGCACGGCCTAGCTCTCCACCTTCCTTCCTAGCGGCATCAATGCCGGCCAAGATATGTCCCTGGAAATTTTGTGCGAAGTCGCGCTGTCGATCTTGTTGGTCGTCAAGAATTTTGGTCTCGTCCTCTATCTGTGGCCCAAAGAGATTCAGATAAGCATATGCATTAGATCTCTCTGGCACAAGGAGTGTTTCAACTTCCCAGAGGGGAAAGTGTGCGCGTAGCGGAATAGTGTTAGATGGAGATTGCTCGTCCCCAACAAGACCAGCTTGCAAGAATTCAGCGAGAACTTGCATTATTCGAGCCGTAGACTTGGAGTCCCCCGCGAATGACGCTTTGGTGGAGGACCATCTGCTGGCGTCGACGGACCTCCAGCCAAGGATTGTCGTAAAGCATTCCAAGGTTTGGTGCCAGCCACCAGGGCACGAGATCAATTCTGGGCCAGCGGCTTTGATCATGTAGGATACAAAGTCAAGGGACGAGGATCGAATATCCCGCGATAGATGTGTCATAGCTGCACGCAAGTAAGGCAAAGCCTTGCTCACATGATCTTGGATGTCTTCGCTGGGCAATGCGCGAAAAAGCTTTTGCAACTGAGTCCTGACGCCGGCCGAGCCATCGAGCATGAGAGGACAGATGGTACCGAAAAGAGAACTGGTGGTAACTGGCAAACTGCTTGTCAAGGGACTAGAAGCGACAAAACTCGTCAAGGAAGCAAGAGCATCTCTCCTCTGAGTGGCGGACGGGGAGGTGAGAAGGGAGAGTTGATGAAGAAATATCGTAGACTGCGAAGGCGCGTGGACATCTAGCTGCTGGTTCAGAACGATGGCTATTTCGTCTTGTTAGCTATTTGCACAGTTCCACTGATAAGGCCATATACCTTGGGATCTGAAACTCGTGTCGGTATGGTTCTCAGCCTTGGGTTTCGCCTTGCCCACTTTCAGTTTCTGTTTCTGTCCACGATATCAGCTTGTTTGTTACCGGTCTGGACGGGGTCGATCAACCAACCTGGAAGTCTTTCTTCTTCTCTCTTTTCTTTCGTGCACTGGAGCCCATTTCGTCGGTTGGGCGTATTTCGTAATAGACTTCAAGAGGATTTAATGGGAAAGAGTTTTTTTCCTCCTTGAAGAATCCGCGGAGAAGCAGTGGGAACAATAAGCTTTTGACGTTGTCGGGCCGAACCGCAGATGGCGACGATCCCAAATCACTCGATCTAACAGTGATTTTTCACCATTTTGTGGAGATGGATTCATGTTCGTAATAGAAACTCTCCACGTTGTTCAGCTCCATACCTCCGGTTACACAAGGCTTACAGTGACCTCACCCCACGAGAGTAGCTTGAGAGCTTCCCTGCACGTTCCTGTCCAGAGAAAAAGACGCGTCTGGCGCGTCTGTGCACGCCTCCAAAACCACATCGAGCCTACAAACGGTGTCAGCATGAGTTGATATGCACCCAATAAGCAAGATTGAAACAAACTGGTTAGAGGCGCACGATCAGCATGCCTCAGATTGAAAGGGTTTTTAGCTCCCTGCTCTCATCTTACACGACGCTATACTGATTGGTGTTTAACAGGAGGTTTTGAACGGTCCTTCCATTGATGCGATGCTGCGAGGTCTGACGGAGAGACCAAACGTACAGTCTACATTGATCCTTTCTCGAAGAGATGGTTCTATCATAAGAGTTACGGGAATCGCCTCTCCAGCAGGCGAAGGAAGGCCTGCGGCTTCTGCGACAGCGTACCAATGGCCGCAGAAAGAAGAGTCACGGCGTGGCACAGACGCGTCAGAGAAGGAGCAATCCTCTACTGCCCATGAAACAGATGATACTTCAGAGGTCCAATATATTGAGAAACCAGTGGAGCGATTGGCTTCATCCATCTTCCAATTTGTGAATAATGCCAATGCAATGGGTGCAACACTGGGCGCAGCTTCTCGCAGTGCGGCACGTCCAGACGGAACGTACCCCGGAGCGGCCTATGGCGAAGCCAAAACTGTCCAGAATAAAGAGCGAAACACTGAAGAGGATGCGGAAAATGGAGACACTGAGGACGAGGTCCAGTTGCTCAGGCTGCGCACAAAACACCAGGAAATCATCATTTTCCCAGACCCCAACTACATCTGCTGCGTTGTTCAAAGGATCGGCAAGACTGCAACTGGTCATGACAGGAGATAGCAAGCAATGCTCAACCTTGGTTTTGACAGCAATGACTGGCCTGTTTACCCGAGGACTTGAGGCTATTTCGCCCCTGCGGTGCATTGATAAGTGCTGGAATGATGAGCAGGAAGGGCCTGGAGTTCACCACAATGACCAGCGATAACAACACAGGAGTGACGGTGACCTCGGGCGATATCAGATGCAACTCAACGCTGAAACAAAGATATCAACATGGTCAATTCGAGCATCTGAGTGGATGACCGACGAAGGATAGGCTGGTCAGGGCCGCAATTACCTGCTGAATTGAGACAGGCTGCCCCAGATTTTTTATCTGCCTGCCTCAGGAGGGTCATTCTGTTATCGCGGGGTTATCGCACTTATCAGGAAGCCATTGAATAAATTTCCCCTTCAATGGCGGAATGGGTGCTCACAGCCTATCGTGTCCTCAGAATGCGACGTGCTTGTTATCACTTGTTCCCATTATGGTGTGCTTTGAAAGTATCAGTAGTCGCTGATCTCCTTTGCCCTTATCATTTGGCCCATGGCAGCCCTGGCCATACTGTACTTAAAGAGTCACACGGCCACCGGCCCCCCGCGAGATTCCATCTCTGAGCCTTACTAGTCCTTTGAGGCCTCGCTACGCAGGCTACGCAAATCGCCAATACCCTATCCAACCCCAATTCTACCCGATGTAGCTCGCCTTGCTCTTCAGGAAATATCACGCCTGGAAAACTCACTCGTACAAACTCGTACAACGATGCAGCCTCACTCGATGAGGACGACACCTTCTCGACAGGTCCTGTTGAGGACAGATTTCGGCGTTGGCGGAGCACCGAATAGTCCCGGCCCTTGACAAACTTACAGACTCAGGCTGGCGAGTCCACCTTTACGTCCACCAATGGTGCCTCTCCCACGCATATCCGAAACGGCATTCCAACACCATCGCATGCGTCGACTCGACATCGGTCAGATTAGCCGAGACAAGAAGAGTTGGAAACCTTGACAAGAACACATTATTCACATGGGTAGCTCAGGGTCACCAAGGGTTACTGTTGAGCTGGTGGTATTTCGAGCATGGACGTGTTTCCGGACTGCGCACCAGATTAGGAGGTAAGCAGCAACTTGGCTGCTGAGGCTTGCTGGACGACAACAGACAAGGCGGTGCACTAGTGTGGGGGTGCAATGCGTCTCACCCTGGACACTATCGGAGCCCTTGTTGGGACCAAATACGAGCACCCACCTTTTTGTTGATGCGGACGGACGTTACGCTCGCAAGCGGAACTATTAACTTTACAACAGATCGGCAACGCCTTTTCTATATGCGAATCTCCCCTTTTTAGCAGGGATCCGACCCAAGACGCACCAGGCTGAGCACACTTCTGGAGCCGAAGCACCAGAAGGGATTCGGGGGTCCACTTGTCATGCGTCGGAGGGTGATGACCCATATTGCCGATGAGGGGGGCGTGGCTCGCTCGATAACTGATGGATGGCGGAGTTGAGGAGGGACAACCCAGGGAGACTTGGAATTCTACCAGAAAAGCAGCTAACGATGCACCTAATAATCGCTTAGGTGTACCACTCCAGCCTCGAGTCATATTCAGCATCCCACGTCTTCTTGTGTGCCACCATCTCGGCAAGGACCGACAAAAGAAAGCCTACTTGTAAGGACAGGGAAAGAGTCGAACGCAGCTCACGCTCACTAACTCACCTAAATTTACCTGGTTGCGCGTCACTGCGCGGTCGGGGTGGTGGTCGGAGCTTTCGCCGACCGGATGCAGGATGTGGCCCATACCGACCTTGACCGTCTCAACAAGTTCCCTGGTGCAGGATGAGAGGAGCTGCTCCCCTTCCCCAGATCTCTTTCGACCTCTCGACCGACCGATGGGACTGGAGACGCCTGGATGGTCGTGTGCTTGAGGAGGGTCAGTGGGCCTCGCTCAGA